CTGACTTATTTTTGCTGCTCTGTAGTCTGTTGTGAAAACTTATGAAGTGCTGTATCATTTAAGATGTTTTTGAGAATCTGAATTCCGCTACAGAAGGTGTAAATCCAGTTGGATACTACAATTTGTTGGTCTCAACTGGTTCATTTTCAGGAGGGATTTGTTGCTAGATGACGAAATCCAAACTATGGCTGAGCTAAAAAGGCATTTAATAATAATACATGCTTTTTAGCCGAGTTTTCTTCCTGATTAAGTCTGGGTTGTGGTATTGTGCATTAAACTAGTTTTGCCCTGCTTGTGCTGCCAAGCCATGCTGTGATCTTGGGAGATCACATCCACGTTTAAACCGTGCCTGCACTTGTGTTTTTAAGCCGCTCAAAGCCTTGTGTTGACACGGTCCTCAGGCCCAGTCTTCTTGCATTCCCCCGGTTTGAATTGCAGGCTCCCAAAATTAGTTCCTTGCTAGTTCAAGAAACCCTTGGTCCTCATACTAGAGTGTTAGACTGGGACGTTGAGAAAAGATTTATGCAGCTGGATTTGTACTATTCAGAAAGGGAGGGGATAACTTGTTGCCAAGCCAAATATTTTCGTTATTTTTGGATTACTTAATAAAAGCAGCCAAAAACATTGTATAAGGGATAAACGATGGACTTCAAGTGAGTATTTTTCCATTAAGAATTTATTTTTTTATTCTTCCTGTCATCAAGATATAATGCTTTTTGAATGTAGCTTATTTTCAGATGTATGGCTCCTAGAATTGTCTCCTTGAAGTCAGACATTTACAAACGCGCATAGGTTTTGAAAACTGTCTCGTGTGTTAGCACTTTTTCTGGAAATGCAAACTGAGCATGTTAGCTAATAATTTCTTGTATCTTTGTAGCCCAAGCAGACTGAAAAGCGGTCTTGTGCAATGTTTTCCTTGAATCAGGCATCTGAAGAAACTTGTAGAAGAAAATCCGTGATGAGAAGAATATTGTTGCTGTAAGATTTTCTGTTGACATTTGTCAGCATATCAACTAATTGCATTGTATTTCATATAAATATCTTAAGTTTGTTTCTTTTAAAAGAAACTGTCAGGTTAAAAAGACAAATTTCTTTGCCTTATGGGCCATAGTTTGGATATTTTTTTTTTTTTTGTTGCTTTTATTAATATAACTTTTTTTTCCTATCTACAACTATTGAACAACATGTTACCTGACAGTTCTCTTTTGGAGAAGATACCACAGGTGATAACCACTTTAATGTTAGTAATTACAGTTGCCCCTCTTCTGTTTTGGGTCACTTCCGTGACAGATAGTTGATAGGAAAAGGCTACTGTGACTGATACATAAACAGCTAAAGGAAATTAAGACTCCCCTTCAGAATTATGCTGAGGTTATGATTTTGCACGCCAGTTTTGAATGACTACTTTGAAAAAATGTTGGGCTTCAAGTGTCTTGCAAAGTGGTGGATCCAAATGAGAAATACTTACTCGTTGAGTAATAGTCTGCTTCTCCATTTTTTTTGTATGGCTCAGTACAAAGCTGTGTCAGATTTTCAGTACCACCAAATTACCTTGTTTAAATGCTACTGTTGTACAAAAGTGAATGTTATTTTAAGCAAGAAATTCTGTTTTCTAGCTTGTGAAGGAAATAGTTTTCTTGGGAGTAAGCATCCATAAATTCAATCTATTTCATTTTTTCAGAAAGGCTTCTTAATCATGGGACACAAGAAAATTAAAAAAGTGATTTGTTTCCCAAAGGTTTGATAGGCATTTATTATAAAAAGTATAAATTTTTACTCTAGTTGAAAATGCTTCTTCAAACCCTTTAATATTAAACTTCTTACTAAAATTCAGTAGTTTAAAATCCTGGATAAATATCTAAAATGGCAAAGATAGAAAATTCAGAGGGAGATTATTTTGAAATATGCCAGTATATTTTTGAGCTTCTCAATTGCAGCCCTGAATTTTCTCTTTTTCACTGCAATTCATACTTTGTGAAACTTCTTGGGTAGGTTATATTTAACGCTGTATTCACTTGCCTGAATAAGTCAAGTAAATATTTTGTCATTGAAATTATATAGATCTGCTTATGTTAGTGTGCTGTTTAAAACGAGACCACATTGAGGTAACCATGCAGGTATTTGTATTGGTATGACAGTAGTGAAGTGGGGTCGCTGTATACTGTACCTGCATTCTGTGCTGAGCAAAATCACATGGACTTCCAGAAACAAGCAATGGTTTTTAAAAGCAGCTTTATTTAATGTTCCAGCAGCAAGTAAGTGTCATTTGTACCATATAATTATGTAAATTGGGTGCTAATAAATACTATTTTTCAACATTGTGTACCGTGTTCATAATTCTGCATTTTATCACGGGATGCGCGTGGTCTTGGAGTGTGTGCTGGGAGGGGGAAGCGCCCTCAGACCAGCACAAGCAGCCGCGCGTTTGGAGGGGCGCGAGGTGCCTCCGCGGCAGCCTCCTGCTGAACTCCTACCGCTCGCAGGAGCGTCTCTGTTTTTCCGTTCTCCGTACGTCTTGGCTGTGTTTTGCCTTGGCTCTGTATCGTCTTGGCACTGCTGGCACCCTACATCTTTCTGGGCTCTTCGGCACGCGGCGCCCGGGGTGAGCGGGCGTGCGGAGCTCCTTCTGCGGGAGCCGGGCCGCCGTGCCCTTCCTGGGGAGAACGTGCATTTCATTTGAGAAGCAGCGCGTGGCCCTGCCCTCGGGGAGAGGGTGAGGGGAGGGCGAGCCACACACCACAGATGGTAGGCACGTTGCTACGGGAAGATGCTCGGAACGGCACTCGAGGGGGTGGGATGGGAACCTACACAGAACCGAGCAGAACAACTTGTTAGTGAGTCCATCCTGTTTTTTCCGAGCTTGTAGGTGGGATAAGTGAAGTTCTCCTCTCCTCTCCGTGGTAGGTAAAATAACCCTTCTGATTTAGTCCTACTCATCTTCCCTCCTTATAGGAGAAGAGGAATTGCTTTATGAAATGACAATACAACTGCAATCACCCCAGTGTTCTGCCTCCAGAGAAGGTCAGGAGAAGATTCCTGAGATAGGGAGAAAGAAAATTTCAAGTGTTCTGCCTCCAGAGAGGGTCAGGAGAAGATTCCTGAGATAGGGAGAAAGAAAATTTCACAGACGTTGTAGGAGTGACCCTCTCACATGGGGGGGCCTTTCTAACATCCTTAGGGGTTTGCCTGTGGGCAAGGCATGTCCCCGTAATGATTCAGGTGTGAGAAAAGTGAGCATGTTCTCTTCAGCAATATGGTGAAACTTTGAACTACCATTTCTCTTTGTGCTTAAAAAGAATTAATTTCTATGGGTGAGTGTTGGAGTTCTTGAACTGCGTTATCAGAGTTTTTGTTAGAAATAAGGGGTTAGATTGATGTTACGAAAAGTATCACTTGGGTCTTGCCATTCGGTATGACTGACAGCTGATTGTGAGTGATGTAGCTGATCGCTAAAACCTGTGATATCCACCAATTTAAGTTTTTAACTAGGAAAAAAAAAAAAAAAGACCTCTTTGGGGAATTTGAGGCACTCGGCTATATAGATTACACTTGCAATGTTTTCAGTATTTAGATGATTTAGCAAATGTAGTTGGCCTGTTCCTAGCTAAGACTTCTCCAACTGAGATGGGAATGGAAGAGAAAAGGGATAAAGTTGTTTCCATGGTTATGATGGGAGAAGAAAAATAACTAGAATAATAATAGGGAGAGTGTGACTTTGTTCAACCATGAAGTAACTTAAGGTATGTATAACACAGAAGACTGTGGTGTCTAGATAATACTTCTAATACTTACTGCTTGCTTTGACTTGCCAAGTAGACATTGTAGATAATTTTTTGTGGAGTTTACAGGTAGGGTGTTAAATCCACTAAGGATGTTTAGATTGGATCGGTCCTGTCTATATGTGTAATGCCAGAGCTTTTCCTGGTTACAGGAGTGGTTCCCCTCATGTGCTGGAGAGCTGGCGGGGGGGGGAATGTGAGGAGGAAGGGGAAGCTCATTTGCTCACCTGTCAGAAAAGCAAAATTCAGCAGCTGCCATGAGGAAACCCTCCTCTTGCTGAACCTGCAAAGCAGCAGCAGCTGGGGAGCGGGAGGGCACATGCAGCTGACAATGCTTCTGTGCAGGGTGGCACAGGGACGGCAGAGGTGCTGGGTGTCCCATGTCTGGGCCAACAAGGTAAGATACTGCTGGGAAACAGGACTTTGAGTTACCTCTCTCTGATGAGATGGTTGAACTTTGAATTGAATTTGGTTGTTCACCCACAATGTGAGTAGCTAATGCTGGAGCTAGAGGCGAGAGGTGGATGTCAGTATTTATTTCCAGGTGGGTGTTCTGCGCTGTGATTGCTGAGCAGTGATAAGCCTCCAGCCCAACTCTTGAGTGCAGAGATGCTTATTTCTTAGGGAGAGGGTGATCAGATGACCCCCTTTTGGCTACGTATCCAGTGACTAGTTCAGACAGCTCCCAGGCTAGCTGGCTGCCTGCCTCCAAGTCCAACCCTTTGGCACCCTTCTCTTTGGGATGCCTCAGCCAGACGGCAGGTTCCACTGCCCTGGTCAGGCATCTGAAACTAAGTGGCCCAGCATCAAGCGTCTGGACATCTAGACCCTGTTTTAATTCAGCCCTGCATCTAGAAAGTGTGTACAGACTGTTAATTTTTTTCAGCTTCCAAAAGAAGTCTGGTTCTCCAAGTAAGATACGATCTTGCAGACTTGGGAAAGTAAATATAATTCTGATGCCTTTCAGCCATTAGACTCGGCTTCAATGACTGATTCCTCTGACAGGTAATTTGATGGTCCTTCCTCTTCTAGCTCACTCTTAGGCTTTTTTCAGCTGAGCATGTAAAAGCTTGGCATTGAAACTCCTGGGGCTTTACCAACCTTGCCAGGTCTTCCATAATCTAGTAAAAACTTCAGCCGCATTTCAGAAACTGAAATGGCATGGTCCATATTTGGTGCTTATTTTTTAACTACATATGAAACGACATGTACTGCTTATGCCTTTGGGACAATTTTATTGCAAAAGATACAGCAACTTGTATTGATAAGCTCAAAATAGCTTGTATATGTTACAGAAGGAGTTTTGCTGCTTTCTTCAAACAAATGTACCCCCTCAAACATTTATGGAGATTTATATGTAAGTTATCTTGATTTTGAATAAAACAGTATTTAGACACTAGTAGAAAGAAAGAATTTGATTGCCTTGAAAGGTAAAGAGGGAGTGTGTTCCGTACTGATCCACTTGCTTTTGTTTGTGGAAGGGTGTATTCTTACAAGTTTTGAGGCTTATGCTTAAGTTTACAATGTTTATGAATAGGACACCTATGTTTAGATGAAAGTCAGATTAAACATTAAACCACTTTTCTACTCTGAGATCCAACAATTTCAAGGTCAACCCGACAAGTTAATAAAAACACACAGTGGCAAAGGAACGCCATAGTTGTTCTGTAAACTTAAGATAAACCATTTAAACAACAACAAGCCCTGAAGTGCCCTTTATAAATGCTTGGCGCAGAAGATAGCTGTGCAGCTACCCTGGGAGAGACCATCTGAAAGCTCACCGTCATGGCTTGAAGTTTAAGCTTTGGGAAGAAATGAAAATGCATATCCTAAAAAACACGTGTGGCTCTAACTGTTCCTAATGTCTCGGCCGCCTGTGCTGTGCTTCTGGCAGAGCACGAGTGAAACGCTGAGGAGTCCCTGCAGAGTACCAGTCTTATGTGCTGCAGAAGTACGGCCAGTGTGGAAAACAACATGTGGTGGTAGGGTGTTGCATTAAAAATTAAACCACAACATAAAGAGTAGCTAAAAGTTAAGACTTTTTCTCAGCTAGCCCCAAATTAAACTCCAAGCAAACAAGTCTTCAGACAATAAATCCTGTGTCTGAAGGTAAATTCAGTGTATGTGTCTGAGTTTTGCCCAGCCTATGTAATAACCCTTGTTGACAGAGAAAGATGCTTTTGGCTGAATGGTAGTGAGGGAGGTGGGTCAGGAGATGGGGGGTTTCAGGGGTTGCTCTGCTTCTACCTAACTCTCTATCCTTAATCTTTTTTCAAGCCAAGAAGCTATTGCTGTGGAAGTGCAGCAGCACAGATTAGTGTTAAAAACTTTGCATAGAAATATATTTTATGTCTTTGTTTTGCCTCTTTTTTTGGAAGCTGGCAGTTCCCTGCATTTTTTGGCTGGGTAGCATTATTTTATTGGTGATTTTCAGTCAAAGCTGGAACTGAATGTTTCTTCTAAGAGGAAGATTTGACCTTTCCCTGGGTAAAACTGCTGTTTCACCCTGGATTGGTTTTGATAACCTCTGGAGAGGACCCCAGCCTGGCTTATGTTATTACACCAGGGAGATCATGCAGAATCTGCTGTTCTCATTAGTTTGCATCATGCTTACTTGGTAATTTTTGAGCTATTTCAGTTATATTTCTAAACAACGATTTAAAAGATTGTGCTAATTTTGTTGACAGAAAAGAGTCTCCCTTATGGCAATTTATTTCAATTAACATTTTTGTGAATAATAACCATGACCCACCATGTTTATCAAAATTATCACTGCTATTAAAAGCCTGGTTTGCGAGTAAGATGTGAAAACTGAGTTTTAATTTCTTCCCATTTCCTCTTAGTTCCACAAGCTTGACGTGGTGTGGCTTTGATTGCCATAACGTGCATGAGCACACACATTTTTATTGGCTCTAAAACTCCATCCCTTTCCTTCAGTAACATTGCTGAATGAACATATTTTCTTAAATTATATTGGATGAAAACGTAACCAGCTACTGCTGCTTCCTCATAAAAGAGCAATTCTTTTGGCCCTCTTAGTGTGTCACTCCTCCCCTACTGACTAGTGATATACCTAGTTCACTTAAGAAACAATCATGTGTTTTGAATAATCCAGGGCTGTAGTAGGTTCATTTTGAAATCAATCCATAAAATGGAAGTCAATCCCAAATGTGGGAGAGGGTGTCTGTAAATGCTCAAAATGCTTTCCCCAGTGTGTAAGTGAGAACTTCAGACAATTCCCTCTTAAATCCTGTTAATGGCTCTTGAGTAGCTCTCCTCACACTAGAGACTGCTGTAAACTCTTCTGAGCTGTGGTGTAATGATACAGCAGTGGGTCTCAAATGCTTTTCTGATTCCAACCAACTTAACCCCGCAATTTTTCTCAGTCTCCTCTGTCCTGGCAGCTCTCCTGCAGGCCTTGAGTTGCACAAGCGTGGAGCAAGAAAGCTAAGGGGACAAGATACTTCTCAAAATCAAGTATTGATGCAGTGCTATAGGAGACTAGATTCCAGTTCCTGCATGCTGGCTGCTCTGTGGATTTGGGATGTTACTGGGGTTGTCAAACGGTTTTAGGGTCCCACAGCTTGACTCTTTCCTCTGACTTGCTTTTCAGTCTCTGGGTTTGGATAAATCTCAGTGCTTGAATTTACACCAGCTGAAGTTTAACTTGCTGACAACACAGCTGTATGAAGAGAATGCTTGCTTGTAAGAAGGTACCCAAATTGCAGGGGGGGGGGGGTGGGTGGGTGTGTATGTCCCCCCAAAAAAAGTGCCTGGTATTTCAGCCCTGACCTGGGTGTTGTCTCCTTGGCAGTGCCACATGAAGGTGCTTCTGCCACAGCAGCTGAACAGTGTGACTGCTCCCTGAAGGGACCTGGCCACTTCAGGAAAAAGGTGGTACATTTTAAGGAGCTTGTGTATGCCCAAAGTGGGAATCAGGCAAGCCAGGGCTCTACACTGGAAGCAGCTTTTCAAACAGCTTCAGTTATTTCCTCCATGTTTACTGCCTCTTTCGCTATCCATCCAAACCAGACTTTCTGAAGCCTGCAAGGAAAAAAAAAAAATAAAATCAACAGTCTACATAGAGCGTTATCATGCATAGGAACAGAGCTGCAATCAACCTTGCTGACTGGCAAGTGCCAGAGAAAAACGCCTCCTGTATGTCTTTGAACCAAGGACTGGCATTTCTCCTGGGGCACTTGGTGTGACTTTGGCATGGTGCCCGAGGGTCCCGCCTTGCTCGAGTCCATCAGTTCCGTGGCTGGGAATTAAATTCTGTGCAAATGTTTTGGATGAGCTGATTAACAAAGCGGTAGAGGTTGTCAAATTCATCCACAAAGAAGGAGTGTTCCTTATCAGGGTCCGTTGCAATGGCTTCCAGTTCATCTTGGGCTGCCCAGGCAACTCCAATGGAGTAAGCGATAACACCTGGAAAGAAACCCAGAGTTTAGAAGGAGCATAAAAGTTGCCATTGCATTAAATTTGATTTAAGACCAATACTGCAAATGTAGTTGCCAGGCCACAAAAATCTGGGCAGTGAGTTTCAGTGTTCTCTCTGTAAAAATGGTATTTTCAAGTTGGAGGAAAAGTCTAGTTTGTGCTTCGGAAGTACATTTTGACAACAGCAAGAAGGTTTAAACAATAGTAAAGCTTCTGCTCTGGTCTGAACAACAGGCTCCTGAACAAGAGGTTCTAGTTACAATGCAAATGTCTTACAATTGTGTTGAAAGATGTATGACTATCCTGACTGGAAAGACAAAGGAGGCTTCGTGTGTTACTAAAACAGTAGAAATCCCACGAGATCTCCTAGACACAGCTGCCTTTTGCTAGCTTTATGTGATTTTTTTTTTTTTTTTTTAAGAAAAAAAAATTTTTTTTAGGTTCCTCATTCAGATATTAAACAGATGCTGGTCTTGCTAGAGCTCAGTGAGTCCCCAGGGTGAAGCGATACTCTTCCTTCATGAGGTTTTATCTGGTGTCTTCAAATCATAGCAAACTGCATTTCTCTGGCCTGGATAAATGCTGAGGCGTGTAGGGAGAGCGGGTAGCGATAGAAGAGCTTACCGTTTCGGTGAGCTGCCATGGCCGGCACTTGGACATCGTCGTAAGACCTGCCATCTGTGATGAGAATCATGATCTTCCTTTTGTTGGGTTTGGATTTGCTGAACAGCTGCTCGGAGGCGTAGCTGATGGCTGCTCCCGTGCTGGTCCCACCGCTCCAGTAACTGATCCTTTTAATAGCGCTCAGCACGTCCTGCTTCGTGCTGTACTTGTCAAAGCTGAACTCGAGCCTTTGCTCATAGGTGTACTGAACAGCTCCGACGCGGGTGTCGGTGTCCGAAATCTCAAACTCCTTGCTGATGTTGGCTACGAACTGGAGGACCGTGCGGAAGTTGCTGGTGCCGACACTGCTGGAGCCGTCGATTACGAAACCGATGTCAGCTGAGTTGAGGCACGTCTTGCTGCAAGCCAGTCGATCCGTGTCGCAGACCCGCTTCACCAAGGGCTGGACCACCTTGTGGAGGCTGAACCAGCTGGGCACGTTGATGGAGTAGAAGCCATTTGTCCTGCACACTGCCTGCAAGGCAACAACACAAGGACGAAGGCAATCAAAGCAGAGTCTGCCTGTTTCAGCTGGGGTGTGTAGTTAAATTGGCTCCTGGAAAGAGCAATGCTGGAGTCTGAAGTGGCCTCTCCTCTAGTCACCATCTGCTTCCCTGGGAAATGATGTCGATGTAACATCACAGATACTTGTGTAATGAGACAGTTTTTCCTGCCTTTTTTAAAAAAGCTGTGGGACGGAGCTGATATTATGGTAGTGAAAGAAATGTAATCAGCAAGTGTGCCGCTTGTCAAGCTTTTCTAGATGAGTTATCTTGTTCTCAGAGAAAGCATCGAAATCACAGAGCTGCTGTTAGTGTGGCTCTAGTGGGTATTATGGGAGCCTGTGTGTTTGTCAGGTGGCAACTTCAGCCAACAAAGTTTTGACTACTGACAAACCCTACTACCTTGAACTAAAACCTGGGACTGAAGGTGTGTTATCCTTGGCCTACAGGCCTTTCTAAGCAGAAAAAAACCCAGGCAATTTTGGTGAAAATACAAAAAGCCCATAAAGATTCCCCATTGTGCTGGCTCTGCCAAATAGTTAAAAAAAAAAAAAAAAAACAACAAACCCCAAACCATTAATTTTTATAACTGAATACTTGTAGGGAGCAGATCTGTGGGAGGCTTCTGTAGGGTCAGTGGGAATCGGATGAGCATGGGTAGGAAATTGGGGTGGCACAGAAGGGGGAATGGGAGAAGTCAGCTGGGGGGATGGCAGGGGAATGAGCAGTGGGACCAGAATAGATCAAATTGTCCTTGGCTTTAGCACCTTTTAAATACTAGTGCCTGTGATCTCTGGGTGAGAATATTTTGTTAAGCCAGGATTTATCTATCTATCACTCCATGTGAGTGAGTGTTTTAAAAGACTGAGACACTGTTTTATTTGTGCCTGGTCTTGATTTGCATAAAGCCTAATAGCTCCAAGGGGGTTACAGTTCCCACCAGTCTGGGCTTCTCACTGTGTCCTGCTCTTGTTTGCTGCTGTTTTAGTGTTACGATGCAGCAGTATCAAGTCAACATTCCCTCTTTACTTTCTTATTCTGAGCCCACTCCCACTTCTGCCATGTCCCTGGCAGGTTAGCAGAGACTGACTCACTGTAGCTTTGCCCTTTTAAAAACATTAAATGGAAATGAGGCTACAATCCAATTAAACGCTGACCGGAGAGAACACAACTCTCTGGAGCAGCTCTGAAACTCATGGGAGATTTATTTCATGGCGGAGTGACACAGTTCATATGGGAATCTGTTTTCTGAAAATACCAGATAACTCAGCCCTGCTTCCTGAGCCCAGCCTGGTCTGGCACTTGGTAGGCACCTCCTGCCATAGCTGGGTGCCAGCTTGCCCTGAAGCACTGTTGAGCAGGTGGCTACCGTTAGTGCCAAATACAAATCGTTCAAGGCTTGAGTTCTCTGTTTTTTCTGCACGTGGCAGGGATTTACTCTTTTCCCACGAGCTACCATGAAGCCCATAGCAGCAGAAACAAGTAACAGGAGACTATTCCACCTCACATCAACAGTGGAAACAAAATATTTGAGTTATCCAGTATAATTGACAACTGGGATGCTCCCGTGTTGGGAGTGTGCCAACACTTGCATGTATGGGACCTGTTCGTAAATGCAGCACTGACATGAGGTTGACAGGGCTCTCAGCCTTTGCTGGGTGGGAGATGGACAGCAGGAGGCTTGTGGAAAGTGCAGGCTGCAATTGTGCTTTGTCATGCTACGGTATATTTGGAAAACCTCTCAACTCATCACAACTGCAGGTTTGTGCCAATGTTTACTCAGTAAAAAGCCGTTTGCTCCGTGACGCATCTCAAACCAGAAATTTACTGACTTCATCCCCTTCCTGACTTCCTTATTGCTGCCTGGCTCTTCATACAGGAGACCTCAAGACAGTATAAGCAGGACAAGAAATAATCATAAGTGGTAAGAAGGAAAGGGAAATGCCCTGAATGAAACAGCTTGGAAAATGCAGTCAGAGCCAAGCTCCCAGCCAGAGCCCAGCCCAGTAAATACCTTGTCCACAAAGTTTGGTTCGATAACGTTCTGCTTCTCACTTTCAGCAGCTGCTTCAATAGTGACAAAGAAAATGTTGATCCCTGATTCTCTGGCCAGCCTGGAGGCCTCCTCCACTCGGTCAGTTGGCCACCCATCTACTATCACTACAACCACGTTGGGTGCTTCACCTCTGTTTCCATTAGCATCCGAAAATAAGTTTTTGTTAACAAAGGAAAGTGCCTTCCCTGTAATAAAAGAGGAGATGAGGATGAGCTACAGGTCTGGAAGCACTCTGGCTGGTAGTATCTTACGAAATGGTAGGCAGAAGGCTGATTCAAGGGTTGGAGCACCAATGAGAGCTGGGGAAAGCGACTTCAGTGGCTGTGAGCAGGAGAGGAGGTTGCTGCTGTCAGTGCAAAGTTCCTCCTGAGCCCCCCTGCACTGAATCCCAGCCAGCCCCTCCCGCTGCCCCAGAGAGTCTGAGGGTGATAAAATGGGTCAGCAAGGATCCCCGGTGTGTCAGTGAGACCTGCCCATGAGGACAAAGGTAAATCCTGTCCACTTGTGATGGACTCTTAGCACCTTGGACTGGTGCAAGCAGGCCACAGTGGGAGCAGTACCCCCTCGCCAGCCCTGCCCTAGGGCTGTTCGGTCACAGCCGCCGTACCCAGTGAGGAGCTGTGGGCTCTCTACAGCCCAGGCTCTGGAGACTTCCCCAAGCTGAGGACGTGCAAGCAGCCCCATCACCTACCAACGTTGGAAAGTCCACCTTTCTGTGGGATTTTCTCAATGGCGTTTCTTAGGTCCTTGGAGTTGGTGTAAGTTTTTAAGTTAAATTCTGTGGAAGGGTCATCACTAAAAGAAGAAATCAGAGCAATTGTCAGTTTTTTGCTTCATGTGCAACAGGACAAAAGCCGTAGGATCAGTCTGTGCTACCCGGCTCCCGAGTGAGAGCTGGAGTGATGCCTTTGGCACGTGTCAGCTGCAGAGCTACAGCTGCCAGAGTGTGCAATTGTGCCCCGTGGCGCTGGGAGTAGCTGGATGAGAAGCTCTTACCCGAACTGAACGATGCCCATCAGGGGACCAGCGCTGCCGATGCCAAGGGCTTGGGCCACATTACTGAGGAACTGCTTCTGGAGCTGAAAGCGGCGTTTGCCAATGCTCCAGCTCCCGTCCATCAAGAAGGATAAATCAACCTTGCAATCTGAGGAGAGATACAGAAACACGGGAAATACTTTTAGTCCTTTCTGATAGCTTTGCTTCTTGTGAGGAGCAAAGTCTGTATCCAGGAACTTGTCCTGCTGTGCAAGCTCTACCAAAAAGCCTTTGACAAGGACGAGTCACAGCTGGGGGCTCAAGTCTGTCCTCCTCATTGGTGAACATGGTCCTTGGCATGATTTTCTCCCGTGCAACATCCAAGCCCCGCTGGGTGACAAAAGGGCAAGAAGCTGTCCCCAGGGGTTCGTTTGGGGGCTGCTATGGAGGAGAGGTCAGCCACGCAGGAGCAAGCTGGCTCGTGCCCTGTGCCCTCAGAGCTGTGGCTCGGGCTCGGCTCGCTTTATTCACAGCCCAGAGGTGGTGAGATTTTGTAAAGCCAGATGTGACCCTTGGATTTTGCAGTTTGGCCACCTGCAGAGCACAGGCTACAGGGATTTTTGGGCTTAATTGGTAGAATAGTTGTAACAGGAACAGTTCTTCACATACTTTGTTAATGCTGCTCAGGAGGGAGGGAAAACCCACTCAGTTCCCTTAAATGTGTGATGTCCAGGATGTGCCTCAGGGAGAAGGACATTGAGGGGCCTTTTCAAGGAGCTGCTGACTGGCAACTCTGTTCTTCTGAATGAGAATCATTCAGCAGCTTCATTCTGGGCTCAAACAAACATCAGGGCTGATGATTTTGCTTGTTGTGTTTAGACTGAGCGGGGTCTCTTTTCACATGTAGCTGTAGGCTTGTACCTGTGTGTGCAGCAGCAGCAGCATGCTGTTGTGTGTTGCCTCTCTGGGCTGAAAGCAATATTCTAGAAAAGCTACACCTGCACCCAAACAAACTCTTCCTTGTAATTACACAGATGAACCTCATCTTTGTGCTTCTGTGAATGCTGTCCTCATCACTGCCAACCTGCTTTTATGTCTCTGCAAGTTAGTGGTAAAACATTCATCGGTTGGACTGCGACCAGGAGTGGGATCAAAATTTGGCTTAACTAGAGCGCTAATTAACATTTTCCCCTTCCGGCGTCCGGGTCATCCCTATCTCTTGTTTTCCCTCCGATGATGTTTCCTACCAATCAGACTGTCCACAGTAGTGTGTTTTAATCATTAGGTAGCCTGAGGGCTACAAAGCACCAATTGTTCTTACTGGCTTATGCAACTGCCTCCCATCTCATTACCTTCATTTTTTTTTTGCCTGTGGCTGGCTGTTTTTCTAATTGTAATAATGCTGAACTATAGAAGCGTGACTGAGAACCATGTTTGTTCACAGCAGATCTTGAGGCAAGGCCGGGAACACATGACAAATAATACTTCAATTAACGGCCAAGTTTTCCTGAATTTCTTGTCCTTCAAAGGAAGCTACCCCATGCAATATATATGTGAGTGTGTTAGCCAGCAGAGTCTGGGCATGCAAAAATTTACATACACTTGTATACAGACTTAATTTCTGGGGGGGATTCAGACAGCAGGAGTATTTTGGTGCTGGGACATTAGCGGGACTCTGGAAGAGCACAGGCTAAAGGTGCTCCATAGGGAGCCAAGTACTTTCAGATTTGCAGGGAGGCAAGATCTGATTACAGCTTTTATGGTCCTAGAGGTATCAGCAGGATGAGAGTTTTGATTCTGGTGTGACTTATCTCAGTTCCACTACTGGAAACACAGCTGTTCCTGCCTCTATCTCTGCTACACTGAGCTCTGCTTTCCTGCTGTGCAATTGGGTCTGTAGGGCAGATCCTTCCCCTTTCCTTCTTTATTATTTATGTATCGGTTTTAGGTGTATTTGACGTATTTGATGGGGGGAAAAAGTACTTTTAAGTATTAGGAGGAGTGCCTGGGAATCTAGAGACATTTGGTTCAGTAGTTAATGTAAAGAGTCCTTGAAATGCCAGTTCTGCGAGAGATGGCATTCAGGTGCTGGAGGATGGGCAAGAGAGGACCCAGGTGCTGGTGGGAGGGTGAAGCCCCCTCTCCAGGGCAGCTTCCCATGAGGAGGCAGCAGACAACCCCGTCTCTCCACTTGCAGCTTGCCTTCTCTTTCTCCTGCTCTGGGCCTCACCTAAAGATGAGTTAATGGGCAAATCTGCCTTTAATTAAAAAGGGCTGTAGAACATTTCCTTTTTGGAGCAGGGGACCCTAGATCTCCATCCCCAGACCGAGGAATCCTTGATTCTCCCTCCTTGCTGCAGCTGGCACTGGGTCCTTTTCTTGGGTGGTTTCCTTCCCTCCTGCCCACTACCCTGGGAAGGGTGCCCACACTCAGCATAGCCACGAGAGCCTGCTCTGGTCAGCAGGGCTCGCTCATCTAACCCTGGCCACAACAGACTGGTTTGCTGTCCTCCACCGTGAAAGTCCCTGAGTGAAGCTCTGCACCCCAGGATACTGCAGCTGGTTCTGCCCGGGAAGAGGTACTGGTGAGCAGCCACCATCTCCCCACCCAGGTAAGCTAAATCTTGCTTGATATTTCCTTCCCTGTAGAAGCAAAAAACAATTACGTGTATGAGAGCGGTTAGCGGAGAGCGCTTGCTGTTCCTTGAGTTTCTTACTCTTTTTTGAAAGGTTACCTTTTGCTATTTAATTTGAATGCATTCTAGCAACATGTAATTAATAAAATGGTATCACTTAATTATGATATTAATTCTGAAGTACGTACTTGGGTTCCCCTGGGAGATGGACTCCAGTGGCTTTGGATTCAATTCTTCCTTTGAACTGAAGCCTAGAGAGAGAGAGAGAGGAAAGTCTCCATCGGTGTGTGCTTGGTGGCTGCCCTCACTCTGGAAGGAAGCAGGCAAAGGGGTGGCTGCACCGTCCCCCCTGGCCTGAGGATTGATGTGGGAAGGATGTGGAGCATGTCCTTGGAGCTTACCTTTTTCTACCTATGTCACTTCTAGGATAAAACGTGAGCGGAGGCATTTCTAGAAGCGCCACCAAGATCTCCCCGAGTACCAACTTTGACTCCCCTTTGCGAGTCAGTCCCCTCATTGCAAGGGCTTGAGAGCAGCATGTGTAAGTAGAGGGTTCCTCAGGTGCAGGGGCTGGTGGCCATGGTCTGGGGTGGTGACCTCCCAGCACTTTGTCCCTGAGAGAACCAGCGCTGCCATCCCGCTGGCCCACTGTGCACCACCCGTGCTTTACAATGAGCTGCACAATGTTGGAAGCAGATGAGCGACAGCTTTAGCATGTTGCTTTTCTGTCTGGAGAGGAAGGCATGGGCAGCAACAAACCCCACCCTGTTGCAGCTGGGGAAGCAATGCAAGCCACAGCTCCCGGAGGACTGGGTTATTTTGGAAGGCACAAAAGAAATGGGGTAAATGGTGGCAGAGAGCTACAGTCTCACAGGTTGCTAGTGAATTTTAACTGAGGCCCCAACTGAGATATTTGGATGGTAGAAGGCCTGAGAACACAAGTTTATGTCCTTGTGTGAGGCACTGACTCACATGGCATCATCAGGCTGCTGCCAGAAAGTTTGAAAATGCTAAACTTCACTCATGACTTGAATGTCTGGTAAGAATTTCCCTCAGTACATCTCCCTCCCAAGCAAGGGCAAAGAGCTGTTTATTTTCATTACAGCATGACAAGATTAAGGGGATTTAGCTGGGATAATCCTCAGAAGAGACAGCAATGATCAGACAGGCCCCAAACCAAATGCTCACCAAGGAAGAAGTTGGTCAAAAGAACAGCAGAATGGCTGCTTATTTTTGTAAACTGCATATTCGTTTTTATAGAAAAGGAGGAAGACTTCCTTAAATCTTCATCACCGAATAAGTTGAGGGAAGACTACAGACTTCAGAGAGAGAGAGTAAAAAGATAACTTTAGAAGGTGTAAGCTTAATATAGAAAAAAAGATAAGAAATTACTAGGTGCCACAGAGTTTACCTCTCTGCAGCAGCCAGCCACAAGCAAGGCAAGCATGAGAGCATCGGTGTATGTAAAGAGAAGCAGGCAGCAGAGAGACATCAGCGACAGTCACCACCTCCACCTCAGTATGATGGGAGAGGTAACAGCTCTGAGCGCGTGCACCGCTGAAGCTGGTTGCTGAGAACATTAATGACCAAGCTGTAATAATGCAGAAAACGGTCAAGAAAATGGGGTAAATATGAGCTTCAGCTCCCTATTTCCGTTAAAGTTATGTCTAATGATCCATCCCTCATAAAAGGGCAAATACAACTACTTTGAGTCCTTCCACCTGCATGCTGAAAGCTGTGCATAGTTTTGGGTCAGGGGCCAAGTTTCTATTAAGCCTGAGCATGTGGTATCTAATGTAAAGCTGACCTGATGCCTGATCCCTCACCGGGAGGCTACAGCGCACTGCAGAATCCTCATGGGAGAGAAAGGTTGCTTTGGTTTCTTGTTTTTAAATTCAGCTGCCAGCGAAGAAAGTTTCTACCGCAGGGGCTAAACAGGCCCTTTAACAGCAGCACTGTGTGATTTCCCTCTGCTTCACTCGTCCCCAGGCGTCTGCTGTTGCCCGTTGCTGGGGACGGGACGCTAAACTAGCTGGAGCACAGTCCTTGGCCTTGTACAGGAGCCCAGATGGTCACGTAGGAATGAAATGGGTAAAGGGCACAAAGATTAGCCCTACTTTGTTTGTAGCAAGAGCTCGTGATTCCTTGGAGCAGGTACTTTCTGGACAGGGCCCAGGGGCTCTCCACCCATCCTGACACAGGCTCTTGTGCTGGAAGGGCCTCGCCCCCACAGTCCTGCCAGAGCAGGCTGGCCCCACTCGAAGGCGGGCTGGGGGGCCAGGCTCCAGCTGGCTTTGTCCCCCCCCCCCCGGCTGGAGCTGTCGTCCAGCATGTTCCTGGCTTGTGCCTCTTGTCTTGCCCCTTCTCTGCACAGCTGGGATGAGCTCCCAGTCGAGGAACAGGGCAGAGGTGTGCTCTTGCCCACAGGAGGCTCATTTGGGTGGGGGAAACACCCTCGGGGGAAGCAGAGGGGTGGTGCTGGGGCAGCACGGCCCGAGGCTGGGCACTGGCTCCTCACTGAGGAAAAATGACTTTTTTGGAACAAGGGTGACGTAAAAGAGCTCTGTCCGGTGACATCTGCTGCAGCAAACGTCTCTGACCTGTTTCAAAGTCTTGCTCCCGGTGACCAAATCTGCCTTTGGCCTGAGGAAAGGCACAAGGCAAATCCTGTACAGGTGCAGCCACTGTTCCCGAGACATAAACCCTCTGCCGTGTGAGGTACTGCGGGTCGTGGGTGACTGAGGAGTATTTTAACTGAAAACAGTTGGTGGGAGCAAACCCCCCAGCTGCCGGCACGGAGAGGCACGAGTGTGTCCCCGGGGAGGCACCAGCGGCGCGAGGTGCAAGCAGCAGCGATGCAGGGAGGGGAATCAGAACGGGGTCAGAGGAGGAGAGTGAAGTTTAGGGCTTAGGCTGGTGTGTGTCCATGACTGCTCCTTGGATAAATGCAAAGCAGGGGCCATTCAGCAGGCGGGAAAAGTAAAGCAAAGGAGCAGGAGCTGCAGGAGAGCACTTTGAAGGAAGTGGCCGTGGGGCCAAGTGTTTCTTGCAGGCTGAGGCTAGGCTGTGCACACTCGCCTGGTGACCCTGCTGCTCCATCAGCAGCCATGGTCTCCCAAACCTGAGAGAGTAAAAGCTTGCCACTATGGTTTGGCAATGCCCCCTCTTTGCCCTTGCCTTGCCTGTGTGTAAATGCCTGCAGGCACTGTCCCATGGACACTTACATGTGGTACAAACCAGCCGCACCACCCAAAAGCAGAGCCCTCCTCTTACCAGGCACCCTCCCACCTGCTCCTGCCCCGCCACCAGCCCCTGTGCCTGTGGGACACAAGAAGGGGGGAAGAGCGGAGTTAAACTAAGAACAAAAAAGGTTAATGATGGGCTAGACCTGGCTTAAGGTGGATTCATCTGATGCAGAAGTTATGGGTAACGTGAAAGAGAGGAACAAAGGAAGCAATGACTTGGACCTGTACGTAGTTTCTTTTTGTCAACCACATGGATGAGAATAATTGTGTTTTTTTTCTTTAAAACCCGAAATAGTTGGCAGCTTGCCCCCTGACTGTGTATGTTCCAGTACAGGCTTTAATAACATGGGCACATAACAGTTCCTCAGTAATAGACCAGAGACATGCTTCATCCTGCAGCCTGCGCACCACATACCTCACATGTGCCAGTGTGGTATCCCATATGTGCAGTTCCCCCCGCTTGCCTTATTTGCAGAACAGAAAGTAGGTGGATTTAACACTGTAGTGAAATTAGATATTAGCATGTGCCATTCATTTTAGCAACTAAGTCATATAGGAAAGCTAATTCATTGTTATCTGCCTCATGCATTTGTCTGCATCCTATGAAATCTGTATTCTTTAACCAGGCATACAGCTGACACTAGCTTTGACACTACAGAAAACCCAAGAGTAGGCTATGCAGCACTTTTCATTCTTATTTGCCAGCGCAGTTACCAGTCATTGAAGGTCGTGGGCCAGCTGGATAATTTGTGCTTAGTGTAACAATAAGGTCACCCACCAAATAATCTTCCCCAACTAACTGGGGAGGTGGTCAGTCTCTACAGGCCTCCCTGTTCTGCCAGTCCAATTTAATGCTGCTATTGCCATGGGAATTTCAACTCACTGCATGGGCAGTCTACTCCATGCTAATTAAAGTTCCCTTCACTGATTGCCACAGCTGTCCATGATGATTAAACTTCCCATTCATTTAAGTGAAACAGCAGTGACTACATCCATGCCAGAAACCATTCCTTTGAAGTGACAATCTGAATTCATCAGACTTTATCACGCTAGTCTATGCAGGCATTTTAGTTGCTGAGAAACTATTAATACAACATCCCTTCCCCATGCCTAACCTCTCATTGCATTTAATGCAATCTGTCATTTTCTGCCTCAAAATACTCCTCAGAGTCCCTGGCCCTAGTGCTGTAGCTTTTTCTAAATAAGTACACTGACAGCTTAAGCTACGGACGATAGAAACACTTCCTCTCCCTGGCCCAGGCTGCTGTTGCTGGAGAAGGGAGATCTGTTCATGTTTGGGACAATGCAAATTTTGACTCAACAGCCACCGCTGCTGACACTGGATTTGCAAGCTAATGCATATGGGCAATGCTGCTCGTCACAGCCAGTGCAAGGATTAGTCATGCATCAGCTTTGAAGTAAGCAGTGTTCAAGGGAATGGTCTTTACAAGGGCCACCAGCACAGCACTCTCCAGCAACTAAACCCGTGGTGGAAAAGACATCCTATATTGGATGGTCCAGCCCCTTGTAAGAGAGAGAATATCCTGTTAGGAATTGCCCTGTAGTTTGTGTAGTCTGCTTTAAATATTCCTGAGGAAATGGATCCCTTCAGTATTGAACACATAGAATCTCCATTTGGTAACTGTTCCTAATTAAGGGTGCACAAGTCTTAGTCTTGTTGCTACATGAGCCTGCTACAAATGTGGGGGGCCTCTTCCATCACTCACCAGTAATTATAAAAATGTCTCCTCCATATTGTCAGTTTTTAAGGCTAAAATGTCAGAAAATTTCAATGATGCTCTTTATTCTTTACGTTCAGCTTAAACCCTCCTTTTCTTATCTGAATGTTTTTCTTAAATACACTGATATCAGAATAATCTGTCATTGTCTTCACTAATTACAGCTCTAGACTGTGATCCCAACTGTGACATTCCCCAAATACCTTCTTACTTACAAATGGATTTCAGTAGCTAGAACCCCTTTCCTGTAGTGTAGCTGCCAACTCTTTTCAGAGCTCATCTGTTTTAGGCAGGAACTTGAGACTGATGCAAGCACAGAGTAATTTTAACTACTGAGATGTAAACAACATACCTCGTTTATCATTTTAAATACTGTAATCACTCCTTAAAATGAGTTTGTTATCAGCAATGTCATGGACCTGATGAATAGATTTAGCTTTTCCCATGTGTGATGGAAACCAGTTATTCCCAAACTAGTTACTGGATGCTTTAAATATTTACCTGTGTCAAAAAGGCTCAATCCAGGTTTCCATAAGTCTGTTTCCATTGCTTTCACACATGAAAGAGAAGGAAAATTATTACTGAAAATAATGGAATTGCTAGGGAGTACAAAGTTCTGACTCAATTTAGAAAGGTCAGTTCATACAGTGAATTATCATTAACAACTAGGAGCTAAGGAAATCAGTAAACTTGGAAACTTTTATGCACACATTTCAAGCCATATTTAGGAGCTTTGCATCACTGCCTGCAGAGCACTAATATTTTTTATGATTTTAAATACACCTCTCTAGATCTGTTTTGGTCTTGTTCCTCTAAATTGCATTGATACTGAGGCAAGTATTCCGACTTCAGTATACTTTTGCTTGGTTTAGACTTTTTTCCACTGAAAGTCTGCAAGTACCTCTCATCTACAGACTTCTCTATCCCGTTAGCCCATCCAAACACAAAAAAAGTTTGTCTAAACTTGCTTGCAGCCTATCAGACGTGGAAAACTTCATCAAAATTTCTGCTTTCATAAATAAACCCTAAACTGTCTTTGTTTTTGGAGCCTGCTGAAGAGCTTTCCCCAGGAGTGGTGTTTTGCTTTGGGTTACATCCAGATGAAAGCCCTTGCAGCTGACTAGGACAAGAACAGTACCAAGGAGCACAGGTGAGAACCTTGACCCCTCACAGTCCACCTCCAGGTTTATTCCACATAACTCTGGCCCACGGAATCCACGCTGCCTCCTGTGCCTGAGTTTCCCATCTCAGACCCACAGCTCGTGTGCCCTTAACTAGAGCCAGTGGGTGAACCACAGTGTAGGTGTGGAAAAAAGTCATGGGCTTGCCAGTGTCCACCAGCCTAGTGAGAGCCTTGTCCTTAGGCTGCCATCCCAGCGAGGAGCTATCAGCTTCTCTTTGGGGGGGAGACTTGTTACATAAGACAGGTGGCTGAATAAGACGCATGGTATCCCTTAGGGTAGGAGGAACCCTGTCACGTTTCATTGCTAAGGTGATTTTTACAGACCTCTTTCCCCCCTTAGGCTGAGCACTGCTTAGACGCCTTGTGAAGAATCTGAAAACTGAGGAAAGCAAAGGGCTGAGAAGTCAGTCATGATACGCACAGAAGTTTTGCTGTGATTTTTTTCTTAAGAGGAGAGTGAGGGTGAAGGAAGGGCAGGCCTGGGTGTCGGGGAAGGAAACAGGAGGTAAGACAGGAGGAATATTCCTAGTTTATCATCCACCTAGGCAGGTTCATTTGCCAGAATTTCATACATCCCTCAGCAGAGTCATGAGGAAACAGCAGTGACCAGAGCCTATGGGTGAGGGTTGCAGAGCAGGAGGACCCTATCTGTAGAGATCAGCTGGTGCTCATTTGTTGTCAGAGTGGCCAATGCATGCCCTGAATGCTGTTGCTGAGATCAGATTTCAGTGAAACCAGCTTGTGAGTAAATAATCTCAAAAGGTATGCTTCACCCTCCCAGGGTGGAGAAGCATCCAGTGACTGCGAAAAGATTCATATAAAGCCACTTCTAAGCCTGACCAGCTGATAAAAAAAAAACAGCCAAAGAGCAAATCATGAAGAAGACCCCATACTTCTTGAGTCTTCTGTACAGATATGCTGCTGTGTGAGTTGCAGTGGAAAATGTGCTTGAAGCAGTAGGAACTGCATAGCAAGTGGAACCAGCTGAGGAGCTGTGCAAAGATCTGCCCATCTTTTCTCCATAAGCAGGAGTGTGAGCTGAAGGATGCAGAGCAATGGAACGTGCCTGTTCCACATTTCACAGGTTTGCTTCTGCTGCCGGCTCATTGCCAGGGACTATTCTCAGATCACAGGCTCCTCTACCTCCTCTGACTGTTTAAGCTCAAAAGTCAGACAGATGCTGATAAAGGAAAACACTGCTTTTTGACAGTACGAGCGATGCTGAACCTTTTATAGATTCACTTTTCTCAAGAACTACTTCAACTCAGATGACCTTAGGTGCTCTAGTCTGTCCAAATCTCTATGGGTGAGAGCTTTCTACTGCTTCTTTGAGCAGTCTTCTCATGGCTTATATCCTTTTAAAACTTTCTGTGGTGAGAAATCCCCTGTGTTCTCCTTCTTAGTGAAGAAAAGCACCAGATAAGTACCAAGGATTTTGGGCAGCTGGCTGCAGATATGTAGAATATACAGCTTTGAGTGACCTGTAAATCCAGGCAAAAGCTATATTTCTTGCATATAGTCCTAGACACATAATAAAGAAAGTTCTCAATGAAATGCATATCTGAAAGGGAAGTGATTATTATAAGGAGCTAAGGCTTTTTTTTTGTTTTGTTTTACACTTGATGATGCCTATAAAAATCAAGGGTTGATTTTTAAAATACTCCAAGACTGGTCTTAAAAAAAAAAAAAAAAAAAGATACTACCACCACAACTCTTCAGTATAATTGTCTTGAAAAAAATTCTGGGCTAAGCGAGTATGGGATTTCAAGAGAGTTACTGTACATTGTCAAGAGCTTGGAGCAGTTGGGACCTTCTGGAAGCTGCTCAGGCAACTGGTGTGTTGGTGGGGGGTGATGTCCCAGCACACCCTTTTGTTAACCTGAGCCGATGAGAGGAAGTTCCTCAACAGCCCGGCCAAACCTGCAGAGCTGATTGCTGTTGTTCAAAGAACACTATGCATGTGCTTGATAGAATCAAGAAAAACCAACCTTCCCTTTGAAGAAAGCATGGACTTGTTCAGGAATTTACTTCTGATTGTTAGAAAAATTGGCTGCTTGGAAGCAACGCGTCCCATCTGCCAAACTCTGGGCTGAAGAAAAGATCAGGACTCATTGGGAATATGGTGAGTGTGTGTTTGTGGGTTTTTTCTTTCTTGTTTCATGCTGAAGAAAGCAGAATCATTCATGATGGGAAACTTGTGCTTTGTAATCACCTTCAGGGGGACCTTAAGGTGCCTTAAGCAATTAGGTGGGGTCAGACTCTGACTTCGGTTTAAACAAGACTATTCACCTGCTTCTCTGGCAAAAATCAGGCTAGCCTGAGAACTAGCCATCACATCCTTTGGTCCAGATGTTAGAGTTATTCTCATTTCAACCCTGTCAGGAAGGCAGGTCTGCCACCCCAGACTGTCCCCACCCTACATGGGGTGTCACGTAATTAGTGCATTGCCATGACCAGCATGTTTACAGGCAACATATTTGCTCTGCTGTTCAGTCCTGGAAAATATTGCCTCCCTGTCTTCCCTCTAAAGGTGGGCACTGGATTTTCACAAGGGCAAAGGGAATCAGGGAAGCACAAAAAATGTGAGATTAGAAAGAAAGACATGACGGTGACATTGATATGGCCAAAAAATATGAGAAAGACAAACATGGATGGAAAACAGAAGGAAGAGGAGACTGAAAAAAGGAGGGGAGATAAAAGAGTCGAAGGAACAGAGTAAATTTTAGGAGGAGGAGAAGTGTATGCATTTTAAATATGCTGCAACAAGATCAACCAAAAATTGTCATTTTGATGGGGAGATTGCTGGGTAAACTTACTTGTCTAGTATTATCCAGAAAGTCCTACTGCATAATAATATCCTCTAACCTCAGTGTCAATGGCCGTATTGATCTCCCCTGCTGCAGTACTCCTCCTGTGCTTCCCCACTCTCACCAAAGCCCCCGGGGGGGTTTGGTTGCCCATGGTTAGCTCTGTTGCCTTGGCCCAGGCTTGGGCACAACGGTGGAGCTGTGAGCAAGGGCTGTGTGTGAGAAAGGGCTGTGGGAAGCGTCCGTGGGGCCTCCACCCCCACTGCTCGGGGGAGAGTATGTGAGCACACACCCTTGCCTTTGCTCCTCAAACCTGTGCCTAGTCTTGTACCTTGCTATCCTGATCCTGAGCTTGCCTTGCTGGCCTGGTGTCCTGCCTCAGTTGGTCAGACCTGCCCCATCACAGGGGACTTGCCTGGCTGCCTGAGCTGTCAGCTGGCCCTGAGTACCACCACCAGAACCCCTCTGCTCTTCTTGTTAAGGGTTTGTGGTCCTTGTTGGTGAGGGGCAGCACTGCCTGCCTTGCTGCCAACCTGGCTCCCATCCCTCACAGTGCTCTGGCTGCTCCTGGACAAAAGTCGTCCATGAGAAATTTTGCTGTCCCATCAAGGGAGAATTAGTGTTTGTATGTGCGCTGAGTGCTCTGGAGCCTCAGGAGGTTGCCGATGGCCTTGCAGAGGGCCTGCTGATTGGTCTGCTTGCTGAGGAAGGATGGTGAAAATTGCACAGCCAGGGAGGGAGGAAGGAAAGTACAGGTGCTGTTTTTAGCCTCAGTATTAAATGCAACCTCTATGGTCACCAGCAGCCTGGAGGCTCCTGAGAACAACAGGAGCAGAAGATTTAGCTCAATCACAGACCTGATAGGCTACACAGAGCTGTTTGTTTATGGCTTTTTTTTTTTTTTTTTTTCTCATTTTGACTAACAAATAAGGAAAATTGCAATCACTGCGGTACATGTTGATTCCCACGGCCTCAAACAACAGCTCGCCAGTGACCGAGCTGTCCTTTGCCTTTCCCATTCAGGGAGCTGTTAGTTGGCTTTCAGTGCATGAGGCTTGCCCTGGTCCTTCTCCAGGACACACAAAAATGATCTGCATCACTGCTTGAGAGCTGATTTGGGGTTGCTAAAACTATGAAAGAGAGCAGAAAATCTGCCGCTAGCAATCTTGCTCACCTAGGTGGGCTGGAGAGCCGGCAGCCCTCTGGAAGGTGGCAACAGGCTCTTGGCGCTGAATACCTGCGTGATCCGACAAAGAGGCGAGAGGTTAGACACCGGTGGGTGAGGAGAGAGAAGCACAATCGTAAGGGATGAGGTGGCCCCAAATTGTCTTTCTGCACATGTTTTCAAACCGAAAGGAAAAGGAAGATGGAAACTATGGATTTAAAATCAAGAACTTAAAAGCTGAAAGAAGTTGGCAAAAGCAGAATAGTTTAAATGTTAGTAGGTGCTGTGAAGTGCAGCTATTCACTGGTGCACTGGAACAATTGGTATTGGATCCTGGGATGATGATCATGATCAGGGCCTGGAAACTGAAAGCACGTGTCTCCTCTTGGGGTCAGGCTTTCAACCTCGAAACCTACACACACACAAAGTTCCCCTCACTTTGCAACAGCAAATGTTGCAAAAGACTATTTAAAATTGTTTTAGAATACTATTTTGAGAGCAATTCTAAGTTTAGTTATTCCAGTTTCATTTTTTTCATAAAAATTACACTATTGTCATGCATTTTTTTCATAAAAATTACACTATTGTCATGCAACAACCAGTGTGATATCTGCTTTCACTGCATCCTGCTGTGGTTAGGAGTGAAAAAAAGTGCATTACTGCATGACTTGGTAGATGTGAGTGGTGGAACTAGCTATGGGGAGGCATTAGAGAAGGGACTGTAATGCCTTTACCTGTACTGGATCGTAAAATATTCCTGTTACTTGCAGAGGTGGAGATGCCCCTGAACACTTTGAAAATATTGTATTGGTTAGTACGTGGAACTTACACACAAGGTTTTCTAGCATTCTAGCAATACAAATATACTATTTATTATTAATTTAAGACATACCTGTGTTCTGTCCTCTTCCTTGTGCAGCCTGAACCTGTCCTATGTAGACCAAAATGGAAAAGTGTGATTTATACAATGTTTGATTCAGAACTACTGCTACCTGGCTTTTTCACTGAGCCTCATTTTATAGCTGTCACAGTTAATGGTTCATATATAGACAGTTTTCATTAATATACTTTCTCAGATGTTAACTATATATTTTGGGCCTCCTTAAAAAAGGATTGCCTTGTTCTGTCTGTCATATAGATTAGCCCAGTTAACATTCCCTTTAGTTATGAATATTACTTGTACAGGTCTCTGGTCTGCATTTAAAAGGTTTGTAGTTACTGCTGCGATTTGCTTTCCTTTATAACTTTCCTTCTCTCACTCACACTGGTTATCTGTGTTTATTTCTATTTCAGTACCATCCAATTGTGCTGGCTGTGTGAGGAAGGTTAAAAAAAACCCCAAACCAACAATCCAGACCATGTGCTATGCTTTCCAAAGAGAGTGAGTGGATACAAACAAGCAGGCAGACTGTAAGTAATGAGACAATGAAAAAAATAATGTGGGAGAATTCATGTGTCTGAAATGTCTCCACCATGGTCTACACAAAAGGCTTTTTTAAAGGTGGTTGGATTATTGAATTCCCATTGTTCAAAAATACTAAGGGCTGAAAGCATTTGCAGCTGAAAACCACATCTTTCATTATGCCTTTCACTTCATTAATTATTCTTAAGAAGCTCGTTAACAAACTTTTCCTTTACCAAGCCTTTATTCATTAGTTTTCCCAGAAAGGCTAATTCCAAAGCCTGGTGAAATCAGTGGGAATGTTCTAGCTGACTCCTGTGAACACTGGACAGTGGCCTGTGAGATATTTTTATCAAGAAGATATCATAAATGAGACCATTTTGATTGGCTATCTCAGAAAACAGGAATTACTGCCTCTTGGGAACTTGATATTGCAAAATGAGGTGACAGCAAATGGCTTATGTTTGACACAAACTTGAACCTTTGCAGGCCACTGGAAACCCTTTGATGGGATTTCTAGGAGCTGTCCTGAGAGACCTTGTAAACTCCAGATGCCAAAGAGATTGTGTTTAAGGAAATAACAGGCTTATCTGACAAAACTGGCAAGCCTTTTAAACTCTATAGGCTTGTAGCTCTGGCTCCATACGGACCACAGCTAGCCCAGGTTGAATTTTCAGGCTGTGGAGGGAGAAGTCTGTCTGCAGCAGTGTTGTTGTTGTATGGGGTTGTGCAGGGCATGCTTTCCACGTGGAAGATCAGTACGTGCCAAAGAGGTGGAAAAAAATTAACACTGAACCTGAAAGCTCACCTTGTTTCAGGTTTGCCATAACTGAGCCAAACGTGTGTATAACACTATTTACAAGGTCAGTAGAAACAGAGTGCAAGAGGGTAAGAGAGAGATTAGCTCAGTACCAGAAATACTTTATGCCACTTTTTTAATGAATTAACCCTACCCTCCACACCTGTGTTAGCAACATGGATTTCTCCCTATGCTCCTTTTGACTGTGCTGGGCCTTGGGGCTATTCCCTCTTGTTGTACCTGCCAAAGGTGTGTTACAACCGTCCCTGCAGTAAGCTCCTTTCTGCCATGTTTTTGCTCTCTGGGGCAAACACAGTGGTGGTAGAGGGGAAAAAGTTGGAATTGCACTTCCATGGTCTGCAAGGCTTGTTCTCCCTTCAAATCTGAGATACCAGTGAGCCTGTGGCATGTGAATGTGTTCGTTAAAGTAGAGCTCTGTGCAAGCTGGAGGCTGAGGCAGGGCTAGGAGAAGTCTGTCAAACTGGGGATGGACAGTCACCAGGTGAATCCCAAGAGCTGGGTCAGAAATGAAAGCAGTAGAGTAGAGAAATCTTGACTGGAGCGTGGAGGTGTGGAGACAGTAAAGGATGTGGACAGCAGAGAGAAATGCAATTTGGAGTGGACTTTGCAAATGGTGGGAACTGATTTGAGAAGGCAAGCAGCTACTCTGTGCACAAAACATGCCTGGCCTCCTGCAACTTAGTCAGCACTTTTGATGGGCTAAGTAGCCAGGGTTAACTTGTGGGGAAGCCAGCATCCAAAAATAAACTCTAGCTGTTCTCCCTAGTGCTGGGATGGAGCACTTACCCAGTCTTTCCTGAACGCATGAGTCCTGGTGGTCTGGTGCTGCTGGAGAAAAGCTTTCAACGCTTTCTTTAGCACTTACACTACTGTTGTCTCCCTAGTCTTATTTTTTTTTTTTTTTTCCCCTCAAACTTTTTTCTTTTTGCTGCTATAATAAGCCGCAGCTGGGGATGAAAGCAGTGTAATGTACAAAGGTAGGCAGCGCCCGGCTTGGAGTCCCTGTCTGCAAAGAGATGCAACCATTGAGCCAGGCTGGGCACAGAGTGCAAGGCAGTGCTTTGCCTGAGGATGCCCAGGCTCTCGCTGCCTGGAGCTTGGTTGCCAGCTCGGTGCCTCAGTGTGGCACCGAGGATCATGACAGGGCTTATGACTGCAGTGCTCACAGAAGATCTGGATTTATTCGCAGTCCTCATCTAGGGTCCAAACAGCCATGCAAGAAAGGATTGACTGAAGAGCTGGGATGGGAGAGGGCAAGTGAGTTTGTGGCCCTTGGGAGTGTGCTTGGTTAACTGCTGTTGGAAAGAGGCAGAAGCCATCATTGTGCCAGAGCGTGGCTGAACATAAAGTTGTGCCCAGAGCAGGGGAGAGTTTGCATCCACTTTCAAAACCCACTGCCATTGCTGCTTCCCCCTCAGGATTGTTCTTTGCCACATACCACACCGGTGAAGGGCTGCGCTTGCTAGTAGGGCAGATAGATAGGAATAAGCTGTCAAATGTCATGCTAGTCACATCTGTGGGTTTTCATTTGGCAGTTTTGCCACATCAGGTCTTTAAAGCAGGGTGGAGCAGAGTCTCAGATATTTTTCCTGTTTCTATATCTTTGACAAAAGATAAAGGAGAAAGAGCAGGAAGAGCTAGGACAAATGAGTTATGCCCCTGCTCTGGTGTTCTAATCTGCAAGTCCTGCGTTTCTTTTGCCCCTGTGAACTTTTGCCAGTACCAGTGGCTGGAAATGGAAATGCTGGAGCTAACAGCAGCCACAGCCATGCTCATTCTGACTGTGCTCTATTTCAAGGCTATTTACTTTTGAGGTGTCTTTTGCAGGCAAACTACCAATGCCCTGTGAGAGGTAGATCTGTGACTCCCTGTGAGCCAAGATGGACAAGAGAACATCTGATTCTGTCTGGTTGAGCCAAACCCTGGTTAAGGCCAACAGCACAATCAGAAACTCTGGCCTGAACAATAGGAGTCAGTCCTAAAGGCTCCTCAGACAGAGAAAACATAAACTGCTTTGTGTATGGTCATGACTTCAAAACTGTATTTGTACTTTCTGTATTTTTTTTTTTTTTTTTTTTTTTTTTAGCCAGTTATTCTCTATTAAAATCAAGGAGAGCTCAAGAGAATTCATGAAGCAAGTTACCGAGTACAGGTATACTGGACCTGGTTCTAGAAATGAAGTCTGTGAAATCAGAAGTATGTCTATACCACTCCTCCAGCACACAGTAACCTGTCTCTTAAGTCTGATCACTTTAATCTTTTGGGACTTAATTTTTGTTTAGAACTTCAGTAAAGAAAATTGTGAAGAAAGGTGAATCCAAATTACAGCGAAGTGATCAATGAAAGACTTGAAAAAGTTAATGGTTTTTGGTTTTGTTTTTGTTTTTTTTTTTTTTTTTTCATTTTCATTTTTTGACTAAAGGTTCGGTCTTATTAAAGACAAATACAACCTTCTCACTGATTTCAGTGGTGCCAGGACTTTATCATCAACGTGCATCTCTCACTGACTGAGGAACCTCAAACAGGGTTTCCTAATTGTTAGTAAATACAATACTGGCCTCTTCTGTGCTCAGCCTGTGGGAATAGGAAATAGAAAAGAAAGCAACAAGCAGGACCCAGTTTACAGGCACATTATGTACCAAATAATGCAGATTCCCACTGAATTTAAATCCCTTTGAATTGTGTTGGCATTCTGTAAATCCTGCCAAACACATACCTGCACATTTGACTCTGTATGATTAATCCCTCCAGCCCCTGCCCTTATTCCAGGCTTGCAGCTAAATTTGACTTGATGATGCTTTCCCTCAAGACCTGAAGTGCCCAAAAGATACCTGCGTTGCCATGTGCTTGGCTCTGAATTCCTTAGCAGCAGGGATGGCCGCAGTTATGTATGTGAGAGCAAAGCTGAGCTCAAGGCAGTCAGAAATAGCAACAGAGAATGAAACTTAATGATGGCCCAGCTCCCTTTTTACTCAAAAGCAATCATATCCCCATGCTCAGAAAGTTGCAAACAGTTGAAAATATTCTTCTTTACTTGGCTGCACAGCTGAGCAATTACACATTGCACAGGAAAACACCTCTACATACTTGCATTGCAGGCTGTGGACTGGAATGGGATCGGGCTTCTGGATCAAGATGCAGAGCTCTGAGCAGCCGCCACTCTGCTGTCAATAACACGAGTGGCATGCCAGGAATAACATCACATTTATTCCAGCCTCAGAACCACAGCCTGAGGTTTTAGAAAGACCACTGGTTTCATATAAGTCAGCATTTAAGAGCTCTCAGCCCTTAGATGGTTATGCAGCTGTCTGCATCACATCTCTTACAACAAAATCAAGTCTCCCTGTGAGAGGGTAAGACAGAAGGAAGGGAAACACGATTCAAACAGCACAAGCTTTGTCTCAAGTGTTGCAAAACCCAGCATTTGTCAATGCTGAAATGTGCAGATATTCACTAGAAAGGCTTCCCCAGAGCTGTGGGTGATCAACATCTCTGACAAGCATCTGGATTTCAGCTTAAACCCAGACTTAGAATCAGTCATTGAATTTGCTGAGGCTTGAAAGGTTATTGAATCCTTGCTGCCTTAAAATACACTGTTCTGCATGCCTTGTGGCATACTTACTTCACCATACTTACTTGATGCTGCAGCTACCACAGATGCGTATGCTGGGTGAACACTGCTAGAACCTAAAAATAAGAGATTTTAATTTTCATCTATTGAACAAAAACCCCCCAGTGTTAATGAGTAGGGATAAACAGAGAAGGAAAGATTGAGGAAAATCAGGTGTGCAAAAATCATATAGGAATTCCTTCACAGTGTTTTAATCTTTAAAATCCAAAAGCTGTTACAAAAAAAAAAAATGTATTACCACTTTCATTTATTGAAAGTTATCACAAAATTAATTCTAAAGTGAGTCTTGACCTATTCGTTGAACTCTCAGTCCAGACATGAATCAAAGAGCTATTTCTTGACTCCTATATCTGAAAATCATGACAGCATTTGGGTATGGGGAGCTTACTCCCACATGAATCAGTTTATCTGGCAATATACTGTAAGTAAAGATAAAGACTAGTCATAATTTTGCTGCAGATGAACTCTCATCTCAGAGAATCTACATGTTTATGTTTCTGAGACACACTAATTTTTTATGTATCTCAAAGGCACAGCTCTAACTCCAGCCCATCTGCTGGAATTAATTTTTTTATCCACTTCTAATATTTCTACATTGAATTACTGAATTCACGATCCACTCAATCATGATATATTCAGTATTCAGCCACATGTCTTCTTCCTTACATTTTAGAAAGCTGTAGGTCAAGAGGAAAGCAATGCAAAAGGCCGTGCTACTGACCTATATCTCTGACCCTATGCGGTCCAGGCCTAGTCTTGCCCGCAGCTGTAGCTGTTGTGGTTCTGGTTGTTGCAGGCGTTGTGGTGGGCTTTGGCGTTGTGGTGGAAGGCTCCGTTGTCGTGGGCGTCGGGGTTGGGGTTGTGGTGGCCATTTGTGTGGCTGGCGTCGGCACCGGCGATGTCTGATACTCTTTGCGGACTGCGTCCCCTGTGGGAACATCGACACGATCGCTGCAGCCGGCTGTGTGACACGTGTGGAAGCATCATTAATAGTGCTCACTGTTCGAGGCGCTGGGGAGAACTGGTGTCCCTCCTCAGGATGTCTACAAACACCCTCATCTGTGGGGCCGTTAGTGCCTTCGTTGCCGTGTGGAGGTGTGACGCGGTATTACGCCGCTCTCCAGAGGGTGCTGACAACAGCCCGTTGCAGCATTAGAGTTTCTCCTACACTTTTCTGCTTTGGCCAGGAACACCTATCAGCCTGATAGATGTCTCAGACCTATGAAATGGTTCAACCAGTCAGTTGCCGTTTCTGTTTTGCTGTCATCTTTTCTCTAGTGTAATTAAGCAGTTAGAAAGTCCATATAAATGGAAATGAACTGGCATCTGGTAATAAAAGGTGGCCATTCTGAGTCATAGACCAGAATAAAATATGTGTCGCCCACCACAGCACTGAAATGCTTTTGGCAGAAAGACAGCTTTTGGGTAATGGTGATCTGGGGAGCAGGTCAGAGCTGGAGCAAGGAGTGTTAGGGCTTCAGCTGAGGGGAGTGGGGAAGATCACCACCTGGGAGCTGGTAATTTCATCTAGCTTTGACTCATCTCACAGTTGCCACTACTTTAAAAGTGTATCATCTGTTGTGAGAACAGAGACAATTCTAGTTGCAAAATTTTCATCCTAAATATCTTTATATGAAATTGCTAACATGCTTACAGTTCCTTCAAGTCTTTGTCTCAAAAAAGATCCTTCACCATTATCTTCATCTATCTACAAAATTTGCCGGAAAATATATTCCTTCTTCACCTCAGCCTTGTTCCTCCCCTCCCCATAGCCCTGGGGATGGTCTGACACACTGTGTACACTGAAAGGGAATGGCGTGCAGCCTATTCATTGCTGCACAGCACAAGCTTGTATTTTATTGCTGGATGTTCTCCTTTTGGAAAGCATCGTCGTGAAACTGTCTGGTGGATTAATTACCACCTAATGCTAGCCAGTGAAAAACTCAGATCTCAGACAGTTTTAATGGGATAATGCTGAAAGAGAGCTCAGAAGGAAAACAAAACAACTCAGCTGAAAACATCAGTATGAATGGCTCCTTTTGGGCTGAATGGAGCCCTGCTCCATGCTGCTGCACTAAAAGGGAGAAGACCGAGGACACAGTGAGTCTTCTCCTGTGCTGCTGGAGCGGGGAGCAGGCACATCAGCTGGCTTGATACCTCAGGCTGCACGGAGCAAGGAAGCTGGGAGCTGTCAGTATTAGGAGAAAACCCAAGGAAGCAACATAGTAAGAGCAGAGAAAAGTTGTTGCCTTGGTACCTGTTGGCTGGGTTTCTGGTGGAGCCTTGGACACAAGAGGAGGGCTTTCGAGGGCTAGTTGTTCGCAGTGCTCCTGTGGGCAGGCTGCCCATCTCCCTCACAATATCTTCAAAGGGTTTGCAGAGCACATGCCCTGCACTGGAAATTGCTGGGAGCCGTAGTGCAGGCTTTGGAAGTTCATAATGTCTGAACTCACGCAAAGCGCAGGCAGAAATCAGACTGAGAGGATGCCCGCTCTTCTCTGGATTGGCACGTGCCTGCCAAGCACCGTTGCAAGCGCTCACGTAATGGGGTTGGTTTGGTGGGAAACAGGATGTGTAGAGGAGATTGGATGGGGGAGGTAAAGCTGTATGTCAAACTGCTTCCTATGAGCACCTGCAGGCAGTTTAGGCTGGGATGAATACTGTAAAAGAGCACCGAGATCCCCCAACCCATACCTTGTTCTGATGTTTTTTCCGATGCATTAGTGGTATCTGCGCTCTTTGTAGCTCTTAGGTCTTGCTCTGTCTTTCTAGGCTCTGAAGCAAATTTAAGCACGTTAGGAAAGACAGCTCTGGAAGAAAATAATTTAAAGTCTCCTATTTAGAGATTATCAGTCCCTAAAGGAAGGCATCCCATCACTTGGCATTAAGTAGGTCTGTCAGTCTAATCAGAGCTTTCTTACCAAGTGAGAAAAAGTGATGTCTGGGTGCCTCTAGAGAGTAGTGACCCCATATTTTCAGTGCCAAATTTAAGCATTTTTACTGTGCAAAAGCTCCTGCCAATGTCAATAGAATTTGTGAAGTGAGCAATAAATATGGAGTTTTACCACTAATAAACCAATACTCCTAAGATTAATGCATCATGCTGTTGATTTTTCCTTTGAGTAGCAGTGTGAACTGAGAATCGGTGTCACGCTGTGTGTAGGGTGTCTGCAGAATACCAGCTTATGTGCAATGTTTCAGTCACTAATTCACATTCAGTTGTAGTTCTTTCTTGCCTGACATTGTCAGATCATCATGGGACGAAATCCTGAATGCCACGGCCTGGCTTAGAAGGAAAAGGGAGATTTTTTTGGTCCTTTTTTTCTTCTAAGACCCAAAGCCATCAAAGTACTTGGAATATTTCTTACAGTTCATTTACTGTTACTAAAGAATCTGCCTCTGCTTTTATGTCTGACTGAGTATTGGAGGATTTTGATCTTCCATTTTTTTCTCTTTAACTATTTTGACAGCATTGACCTATTTGAAAAATTACACCAGGGTTAATGGTTTCTTTAAAAATTGCATTATTTTTTTAAAACAACATCTTTTGATTGTTTTTTCCAGCAGTGAATAGTTACAAATTTGGGAAGGTTCTTCCTGCTGTGCCCAGCATTTGGGAAGCACTATAATCACCAGCAGCATTTAAAGGAATGTCAGGCACCATGAATCTCCGGTGTCCCTGGGATGAAGACCAAAACTGCATCTCTGACAGCTGATCAGGTGTGAGGCAGGATTTTTTGTTAGTCTGGGTGCAAGTGAGTGTAACCCTTAAAGGACTGCTTTTACCTCCTAGAGATAATGGGTTTAAGTATCCAAGTGAACAAGATGGTCTCTATAATTTAAATCAGAAGAAAAAGGTAGTTTTTTAAAAATTAAAAAAGATGTTGGAAATCCTCCATCACAAGATGGCCCCAGCACAGTATTACAGAGATTTTTATCTTACAAACAAGCTATTTCTAACAGAGTAGAGCTGAGATGGCTGGCCCGAGGTGGCAGGGCTACGGAGGGCTGGCAGTGCCAAGCGGGCCCCAGGGCAGATGGACTGTGACCATCAGATCTCTTTGCTACTTGTGGGGCAGGGCTGGGCAAAGCAAGGCAGTAGCACCCTCAAACACTGGGTTTGATGTAACAGTTATTATTTTCTCCTTTGATCATCCCGGGTTTTCTCTGCATGAATGCACAGTCTTTGTTGCTAGGATCCTAACATTTTCATTCACACTGTTTAATTCAAGAATAAAGTGAAGGAAGACACTTGCATCTTTGGTTTGCTGCAGGAACAGGCTCCTGGTATTTTGTTTGCATGACTGAAATGTGGCTTGGTGCTGCTCCCCATTTCTACACTGATTCTCACATAATGTCAGTTTTAGTACTGGTAGAAGTCGTTGCTTGCAGCCTGCTGATCTCTACCCGGGCTATGATTGTCCCTGGTCTGGTGTGAGATGTTTGGGCTGATACTTCAAGTGTGGAAACGATGAGATGTTGTTTTAGTAAACGTTTCTTAGAAAAAGCCAAGATTGCTATGATATTGCCTCCCTTGTAGCAGTGCATAATATTTGGGCCAGTAATGTCTGCATACCTGGTCAAGTTATATACAAATCTGTACCTATTTGATTGTAAATGCAAAGGTATTTCAAACTAAAGTCATGACTTTGTGGGATACGTATTCAGTCTAAACAACAACAGCTTTTACATTTAAATTTGCCTTTGTGCAAGTAAAAGCCTAAAGATGGGGAAAGAGCTCTGTACTCTGCTTCCAGGGACCAAACAGTAATGTATGGGAGAAGAGCAGGACTCTAAGTAACTTCTGTGTGGCCTTGGATGGATGAACCCACTGACAGGCATTTGAGGTCATGGAAAAGATACAGCACATTTTGTTATGCCACAGCTCACAGTGGATAAGGCCAGAAAGGCTTAGGCTCAGCAATCAGAAGAAAAGCTGTGATAGTGAAGTGTGGTAGTAGGAGACATTCGTTTTGTTTTCATTCACACCTCCAAGAAAGAGTTTGATCATTACACAGTTGTTACAGGGGACACAAACAAGTGTCATTTTAGTGATAGAGGTGCTTCAAGTGTACTTGAATATCATCTACCACCTGGTGTAAGACTTGGTCAAAGACCTCTGAAAACAACTAAATTATTTAAACTGAGTTCAGTTGTACGGAATAGGATGCTGACCAAAATGGTTATACAGAGTAGTTCCTTATCATATCATCCTTAGCTACAGCTGCTGTGCATTGCCATCCATGTCATTAGTATTATATTACCATTTATTATTATACTGTCAACACTGAATATCCCAGAAGATAACATGAATAACATTTGGAGAAAGTCAACACGTATAACCTCAAATGATTTCATATAATCAGTGCAACATCATACTCCCTAACAGATTTAAAGCAAGGGGGAAACTACTCAGTAATAGAAGTCTGTAAAACATGGTATGACCAAAAAAATAGAAATTGTCTGGGATAATTTCCATATGCTTAACATAAAAAATACCATGAGGGATCAGATGACATACTAAGGGATGCATTTACTTCTGACTTTGAATAATTATATCTTTGTATTACACAAACTAAGGGATGCATTTACTTCTGACTTTGAATAATTATATCTTTGTATTACACAACTGAGAAGCTACAACAGGTAGTTGTGAATGGATGTAAGGGAAAGTTAGTCACAATTACTTGCCTGATTTAACAGCCGTACTTTTTGAAGAAGAATATTCAAGAGTTGATGGATATGTCACACCTTTTCTTGGCTTGCCCTCTACAAAAAAATGCATTAGAAAGCATCACAAAATGTTCTAAGTTTTCTTGAAATAAAATTCTCATCTAATGTATGTGTTCAGAATCAGATCCCGCTTCTTTACTGCCCAACTCATATTCTTGAAGATTTTTTTTCATCTGATGGAAGAATCTCAAAACCATGCCACTAAAAATACCAATGCCCAAATCCAGCATCATGAAAAAAACGTTAGAAAGCGTGAAAACACAGTCCTGGGAAGGAGTAGAAGAGATCAATTAGTTCATTCCTTTGCAATCGAATGTTATTAAGCATAACGGGGCCGTTCCTGAAGGACATCTGTGTAACCTGTACTTAAACCCACAGCTTCCTTAGGCAGCCTTTTCCAGTGCCCAGCTATGCAATTGCCTTAGAAAGCATGTTTGATGTGGGATTCATTTCGGCACACACACAGCATTCTTCTCTGACCTCACTTTTGCAAGATGCCATTTCTGGCAACAGTCTTTTGCAGTAATAACAGTGAGAGAAGGCTGTGCTTGTGTGTGGGAACACATGGTACCTATAGTTAGATCTAAAATGAGGGTCCTGTCTTAAAACAATGAGGTGCATTTCCCAGTTAGGCTTTAAACCACAAATCTTTTCAGTGCTGCAGCAGGTGACATCTCTATTGGTACATGTGGCCATGCAATTCTATCTCGTAGGGCAGTTTTTATATTCCCACATATCGCTGAATGAAAAGTGTTGCAGAGAATCCCAGTGTAGGGAAGATTGCTCTGGCCTCTAGGAAGTGGTGGATGTAGGACTTCTGGACCCCGGTGACTGTCTCTAGAAGTTACTGTGCTCTGTCATGCTTCTGGACCACCTCGGGTGATACCTACCTCCACCTCCTGAAAAACCTGGGTCATGATGGTGATGCTAGGTCTGCTCTCCTTCATTCTCTCAGTGGATTTTTTAAGAGGATGTATATGGCACTGCGAGCGTGTCAGTTGTCATCCTGGGTGGTCAACACAGAGACCACCAGCACTGAACAGAATTAGCTGCTACAGGCTGAGCCACTCGTGGGAACTGAGGGCTGTTTCCCCTGTGATGGCACACAAAGGAGGGTATATGCCAGAGGAACTGGTCCTCTCTGTGCAATGACATCCATGGAGCTGGAGAGGCACTGTCCTTTGTCCCTTTTCACGTCTCTACCTCCTTTATTTTACTTATCTCTGAAATTTCAGCTGTCATTAAAAAACCCTAGATGAAGAAGTTAGCCTGAGGTACTAATGAAACAATGATGTAAGGAGCTGTTCCATTTCTCATTTACAGTGGTATAAACTGAGAGCAGCTCCACTGAAGTCAACACAGATCTGCCAAAGACCAGAGCTGGCAAGTTAGCATGAAAGGACAAGCTGGAAAGAGCTTCCTTCTTGTCCTCGAGTCTCTCACGGAGGCTGGCCTAAGGGAAGGGCAGCAGGTTTTCACATCCACTTCCCCCCAGTGCTAAAACTGGGGTCAGGAGCCAAGTGAGACTAGGGAGCTCTTCTGCCAATTTGGTAAAAAGATGGAAAAGTTACAGGATTGCAGATGATTTCTAAACGTGTTTCTTTAACCCTGACCGATGCAGAGTTGTCAGGTATGAGTGGTTGGTACATGGATGCATTAATAGAGTAATAATCTGATTTTAGTTTAGAATATTTCTGTGCTAATCTGGTTTCTAATGTAAACTTGAAGCCCGTTGCTGTGCAAATAATCTAGCTAGCATGAGGGCTCCTGGGCTCTGGGATTTTTGATCAACGTTGACTTGCCTCCTACATTTGACCAAGTGGTAGGTCGGAGGCCTGATCTGAATGTGGGCCTGCTCTCTGTAGCAATGGTAATGTCTTCTTTATTGTCTGGAAAAAGTTACATCTACGTTGATGTTTGCTTTATGTACTTAAAAATGGGTTTACATGTGGGCTGAAAACCTTAACTTCTGGCCATTGAAGGACGGGCTATGGTGTGGTGGCTGCTCACCCTCTCATGCTTATTTGTGACTAGAAAACCCAGAGGTTTAGGACTGTATTTTCTTAGCCTACTAGCTGCAAAACTCCCACTAAATTGAATGGAGTCATTCAATTGAATGCCAAGTCATTTCAGTGCTTGAAAGTGAATACCAGCAAATTTGCATACCTCCTGGTGTGCTGGCTGCTTGAATCCCAGAGGACAGACCTTCCCCACTGCCCCTAAATCACACCACTTCATTGCCTGCGTCTCCTGAGGATTCCTTTTCTGCGCTCTTTTGTGCAGATGCTCATTCACAAGTTAAACATCACAAACTCTTGGTGACGATATTGTAACTAGGAATAAACTGTTGGCACATTTCCAGGGTACAGTATTGCATACGGGTCTGTTCTGCTGAAAGGGAATTCGGCTGGAGAATAAGGGACTCAGTTCAAGCTCTAAAGCTGTCCTGAAATTAATGCCTGAGTTGACTTTGTATTTTTATTGGGGAATGCTTTATGCAGCTCTGCCTTTTTATGACTCATAAAAAACCCCCCAACTCATCTCTTTTTGAGAGTGAGATCTGTCTGCATTCAGCCTCAGGCTGCTAGGATTGAATAGCACAGCCTTCCTGGGGTTTTAGTCCTCTAAATTTCTCTCTAAAATTCCCATATTTTCCTTAAGTATACTGAGAGTTTTCTTCCTATTTATGTATGAAATATAATATATGATATGATATGTTAGATTTACACTTGAAGTAGTTTATAAACTAAGTAGTTCCACTGACATCAGTGAGAGCACTCAGCATGTGTAAAATTAAGGGCATGTGCAACAAATCTTATCATCCCTATACATACCCCGATTTCTCATCATCTCCTCTTACAAGTGCTTGTAACTTTCTCTTGTATCTTATTTTATAGTGTCTCATTAATTAAGAATAAAGTTTTGTTATTATAAATCAAAAATGACTACAATTTTATGGGATAACAACTGAGCAGCTGCTGAGGTTAAAAAAATCTTATTTCCCATTTATGTACTAGAATTACAATGTGCTGTTTGTTGGAGAAAAAACAGCAACAAGTACAAGTAGCAATTCAGCTATTCCAGGAAATTCCTACTCATCCAAAATAAATCCTTCTCATAATGTGGTCTGCCCATGGCAGAATGCTGTAAAAAGTGCATCCAAATATATTAATGCAAACTCCAGATGACAGTTCATTTTGGTCAGTTTCTGAGACCTCTTTTGCTGTCCACAAATTTTCACATGAAAAGAACATTTCTTTATTTTTAGTGGCTGTTCAGTTGCTTGAGCCATTGATTTTTCCAGGGATAATGTAGTTAACTAATATCAGTTGGTTGTACCTATCCTAAACCTCCAAAAGTATGGATCAGTAAGAACTGACCCACTGTATGGGTGCAGCAAGAAGTTAGATTTAGAAATTGTATTTAAAGCAATATAAGTTAGACCCTTCTCTCACACAGATAGAATGGGTGCAAGTAGGTTTAAGATAATCTGAAGCTGGTGTAAAGGGTCTCTGATTTACAAAAAAAGTCTGTGAATTTTGTCAGTGAATGCAAATGAGTTGCTGTATATACTATGGGGAGAAAAAAAAAAAAGAATGATCATTAAATTAAGATGGATTTCCTTGCACTGAGTAGATATCAAAACTGTTTGGCTAACAGAGGTGGGGAGAATTCATAACATAGTTGAGAAGTACCAATAGAATTGTTTAATATAAAGTTTGCATAAACACAGTATGGCTGTATATGGTTTGAGATGAGCTGACAGAAGTCAGAAGTTGATTCAGAAGATGCAAACTCTGGTGTAGGCTGAGGATGCTTCAAAAGGCTGAAAAAGGCCTTTTTGCTCCCTTAGCAGCGCTACTTACCAGGATGGAGAGCAAGTGCAATAGGAAGACCTCCCCATCAGTACCGAGGCTTGGATTTTACACGTCAATAGCAGGAGTGAAGGTGCCCTCAGAGAGTCAGTCCTGACCTGTCACCTCCCACAGTAGGCTCAGACCCACGCAGGGCTGAACCGAGCACACTGCTGGCAAGGTGTGTGTCTCTTTGTGGGCTATATAGGAGATAAAAACTGAATAAAAACTGTCTCAGGTGCATTATTCATGCTACAGCTAGGTGAGGTGGGCCCATGGTGACTAAACAGGTCTCAAACAAGTAGGCTGCTTCCCCCTCTGCCCGTTGCCTCCCGGCTGGTGGGGCAGTGGGAGCTGCTGGGGAGGGCAGGTGGCTCCAGCACCCCACCACGGTACCTGACACGAGGAAGGACTCTCTCCAGCGCGGCAGTGACAGGGACCGGACCCCGTTGGAGAAGCTCCCACGGTAACCGGAGTGGCCGGCGACTTTCTGGACGAGGATCTTCCCGCCTGCGTTGTCGATTATACCACTGTGGGGGGAAAACATGGTGTCTGAAGGGTGGAAATTTCCCCCCAAAACTTAGAAAGTGTTCAACAATGCAGGAGGTACGAAGTGTTCACTTTTACCTTTAAGCCAGGGGCTGCAGTGGAGCTGTGACACTACTACTAAATCTGCTGCTAAGAAATATTTGTGCTTCTTCCATACAGAGAAGAGCAGTGTGTTACGAAATGCTGTTGGGATCTCTTTGCTCTTCCCATTGATCTACTGGTCCTGTGTTTAAGGCTGACCTAGTTGCACACAAGAACAAGCTACTGCCTTCGTTAAAATTCCTACATACTTGATTGAATGACTGAAGATACAGGGCGACATACTCAGGAGTTTTCAGGCCAACCATGTGACAGAAATACAGATTTGAGGCAAACTTCTCACTCGCTTGACTTCTTATTTTGTAAAAAAATAACGTTTTCTTTGAGTTCTGGTATGTGTTATCTGCAAAAAACACTAAGCCTGGTTCTGTCCTCGGCCTTGAGTAAACCAAACACAATATTGCTGGAAACTGCAGAAAACCTGTCAGGCTCCATGTGCGGTACACATTAAACGGTGTTTGACATATGATGCAACATGTATCTGAAGACAAACAGAAAACTTTCAGTGTGTGCAACCTGCTGTGGCATCGTTAGGAAAGCAGGCAAACGGGGAAGTGACTGCAACTCAGAGGGGTGGTAGGACTGGTAGTAATGACACTGTGCAGGAAAATGAGTAATGGGAAGCAAACAATGGTGAAGACTGTGTTAGAGCTGTAGCTTTCTCTGCTGAATGCAAGAAGCTGCTGGTAAAATAGCTGTAAGGAAAAGAAATTCACTGTCTGAGGAAATGCAACATATAAGATATCAAAGCCAAACCCAGCTCGTAAATGAGGAAAATTGAAACCCTCGCTGCAACAGTACAGGCAGCCAGCATTTGAACCATGGGGGAAATTGCAGCCGCTATCACTGTGTTGTAACTTCCCTTTGGGACGGGCTCTGTGTGCAGAGACAAGCAATTTCCATTGTGCAGTAGTATCTGAAGGAAGAACCTGTCAGTGACAAGCCGGCCTCCTGGCCGTGCTCTCCCCAGCGAGGGGCTGAGCAGCCGGGAGGTGGCAGCCCCAAGCACGCAGGCTCCTCAGCCGCCGTGCTGCGCGGTGCTTGGGTAAGGCATAAAGTCCCAAAGCCTTAACTGTTCAACTTTACTCAGGATCCCAGTTGTTTCACAGAACTGGAAGCGCTGCAATAGCTCAAATAATTCCAAGTGAAGTCAAGTTCTCAATCAGGCTTTATAAATTCCTACTGCATCTTCAGCTGAATGCATCCTGCTTCTCCATCCTGCCTACAGTTACGGCGTGTTTTAGTTGTGAAGTTATTCTTCACTAAAATTTTATGCACGTTTTTACATGGCTAATAAAACTCGGCAAAATTAGTGCTATAAAATTTATATTATACATTTTCTTGTCCGGTGTCCTTTTCTGTGGCAGGAAAGCACATTACTCAGCCTTTGATGTCAAGGACAGTTAAATTCAAATCTGGAGAACTAAAACCAATTCCCGAAGTAGGAGAGTTCTATGCATTCATCACTGATGATCTCCCTATTTTTTTCTGAAGCTTTATTAGCAACAGCAGCTCCATCCCTATCTTCCACTTGAATAATAGTACAATAGCAATTTTCTATGCATTAATGAGAGATCTTCAAATCTCAAGACACTTCTCCAAAAGTTGAGAAATAATCTTCAAACACAACTGATTTCAATAGGAATACAGGACTGGTAGCACTTTATAAGATTGGATTCATTGCATCATACATGGCCTTTCTCACAGGTTTTCTACTGGAACAGCAGCCTGCAATCAAACCTACAAGGCAGTGGGATCTTTAAAGGGTTTGAAAAGCTGAGAGCTCCCCACACTAAAACGACAGTTTTTTCTGAGTGTCTTGCTCATTTAAACTCACTCACCTGTGAATTGCAGCGTTGCACACACTGGAAAAAGAAGCATAAATGTCTGTGCCATAAACACGGTATTTTACATCTTGACATCCAGGAGGGCATTTTGCAATGAATTCTGGATTGATTATCTTCCCCGCCTTGACATCACAATCAATCTGAGGTACATCTGTGAGTGAAAAAACTTAGTAAAGTCAGATTGAATGTTTTCATAGCTGAGACATCTTGTCATGAAACAATGAGTAACTGAGTGCCAGGGAAGCCCTCCTCTTATGCCTTCTCATCCATGGTTTGGGGATACGAGACGTGTATGTATATTCTGCATCTACAATGTAACACATAATAACCCCTATACTGAGGGATGTGGCTGTAACTAAGGATGGAATAAAGAGGCCTGAGGATATTTCTGACCTCCAATGTTTGCTTCTCTGAAGGAAATGTCCATTATGGCACTTTGCTGGAGAGAAAGAAATGTAGTCACCCAGGCTGTGGTTAACATGTGGGAATGGGGTGTAGAAGAGGTGGCTGTGAGTCAGGACTGGGAAGGACTGTGCACACACAAGGCAGATGCTTCCCAAGGCCCCTGCTGTGCTCATGTAGCTCCCTGCCATCTATAACGCCAGGCTGCAGCCACAGCCCATTATCTTGTCCTTAATTTTTGAAACTATTTGCGGGGTATAATTTATTTTGACCAAGGGGTTTAAGTGTGAGTTCACAACCTCGCAGCAGGCTTGTTTGTCAACTAAATGAGCAAAACACTCTGTGGGAAGAAATACTCTTACAGCAGTATGGCTGAAAGTTATACATCTTTGTGCATAGGACACGCACAGCTTGTCTCATGCTAATCAGCTACATATGCTTTGTGTTACGGCAGGTCCGTTTCACATAGTTCTCTCTCTCTCTGTGAAAACCTCAGTGCTTGCTTAGATCCTTGTGTGGTACCTAATGACCTATGAAGACACATTTTAGTAGTGAAGTACACACTTTCCCCTTTACACACGTTCAGTAGCACGTGCTTTTCTTAGTGATTTGATTTCAGTAAAAGAATTTGTTAGTTAACATGTGCTCCCATTGACTCTGCAGAGAGTTATGAAGAATTACCAGAATATAACCTTACTTTGCACTTTTTTTATGCGCCAGACATGTCTGCTGTGAAGCAGCCAAAAATACTACTGGGACCACTTACATAGCTTAGCTTTTTTTGTCTTCTTTGTGGCTTCCTTAGCTGCATATGTACATATAAGAAACACACCTAAAACAAAGAAAACATAATATCAGGAAAAAGGGTGAATGTCAACATCAGTCATCATAAGCTCCTGTGCATGAGTTTTCCCAAATTTGAATCAACAGGTTGAAAACAAGAAATGTGAATATTCTCAGCTACAGCTGGTTTTCTACTTGTTGGTTAACTTCACAGTCAAGATGGCATCTACTGTGGGGCAGTTTTTTGAAGGGGATTAAAGATCAGTTCAGCTCACACATTCATCTGTGGAACTCACTATCAAAAGATGCAATTGAGTCCATAGGATCCAGAAAACCATGAAAGGCTCTAGTATTTCCACAAGCAGTGGAAACTCTTTGTAATTGGTGTGATACAGATGTCAGTGAAACAACATGCTCTGTGCATAAAACAACTGGGAAGTTAGGGAGAAAAAGATCCTTCTCAGTAGCCCGGTAGGGAAGTTATCCTGTAATCGTGAGTTGTGGCACTACTGGTGGTAGCGGGTATGGGATACTGGGCAGCTTTATGGACTGTATGAGGTTCTAGTGTGGAATGTTCCAACATCCTGTCCCGGGAAGGGCACTGATTTTCTTCAGTAAGTAGAATTATAATTTGAAAAGTGTAATAATAGTAAAAGAGACATATATTTTTATGTTAAAACATACATCACAATATATGTATGTAGCTTTCCTTGTCGGGTTTACTTGCTAAGTGCATGACGAACAAAACCTCTTAATTCTCTGTGCTTATTTTCTAACCACTATATTATGGTAATTAATAACTTCATTACAAGTATCTTGACTTTCCTATTCACCTTTCCCTTCTCCGAGCTTTCAGAGGGAATTGAAACTCTCTATGATGTGTTGGCTGATCTGCTCATCATTTATTAAGTTAATCTTACTAGAAAATTCAACAGCAGTCTTATTTCTTTCATGCTCTTCTCCCCCTAGACTGGTTGCAGAGAGTTTGCAGACTTAATCACTCCTAGAATGTGCTCAGAAGAAAAATCAGTCTCACAGTGTCTGAAGTGACAGCGTATAGATGCAGTATTGAGGCTTTTTTTCACTGGTGCAGTTGTGTAGCCAAGGCAAAACTATAGTTAGAAAAAAAAAGGAGAGAACTGGTGGAAAATAAAGTGCAAAGTCCCAACAACATGCAATGCTAGGGCATAATTTAATGGGGAGAAATTAATTTGGTCTCTTAGTAAAGACAGAACAACTACCTAGGTAGCTATGAATTTGAACTAAGAGTGGCTATCCTGCCAGACTTGAGGAGCCCAGTTAGAGGGAATATTGCCTGAGAATATCACAATTAAAGTCATAGAGCACTGTTAGGCTACATGGTGGCTGGATCTCCATCAAAGGGAGACATGTAAGTAAGATACACTAAGAAATCATGCTTGATCAACCAGAATGTTCATGTGAGATGATTTGCAAATTCTGGAGTCTCTACATATTCCCAAAAAGCAAAAGCAAGATCCTGTTTGATTGCCAGGGGAAAGAAAATAAGACACATCTATAGCCTCTTTCTTTTGGTACCTTCTTCTTCATGGAAAGAGCAAGAACACAGAGGAAAACTGGGAAGGGATGCTCACATGTAAGAAACAGCTGGTTTTCATTTGGAGGGAATCTTTACAATTCAGACAATTTTCAGGCCCAATTGTGCCACCTGATATGGACTACATGCAGCTGGGCATGTACTCACAAATCTTTGTAAGTAATTAATGCCGTTTCTATGCCAAAGTCAAGAAGTTTGTGTAGCCCGTTTCTGAAAAGCTGTGCCAAGGCTTACTCCTCCTACAGTTGAAACCTTCATCAGCCATGGAATCCAAAGTGAAAAGAAGAAGCCAGCAGCCACTGGTGAGCCAGGACAGGAGAGTACAAACCCACAAACTACTAATTGCAGCACATCAACTGTACTTACCAAAGAAGGTTGCAATGACTGTGGCCTTCATGGTGAGTAAAGCAAAATCTGGGTGTGTCACTAAGGAGCACTGAAAAGGAAAAGAAGAGTACATCAGGCTGCATTCAGAGGTATCACAGATGATGATGGAACAGCGGGGGAAGAGGCACTCTTCTCCAACCTTTCACAGTCCTCACATGCTGCATCCTCTTCTCATGCTTTTCAGAGCAGATGATGTCCCCAGAGGAGATGGTGTTGTGCTGTGGCACTCTCACGGACTAATTTTTCACTTCTGTCCAAGATTTGCCTTCTGTCTCAGGAAACCAAGATCCCATTCCACATACTTATTTCTGAAGCTAGTGGCAGGAGAGGGCACGATGGGTACCGATATGCTCCGACAGCTAGTCAAGTTCATTCACTACTCTTCTAAGACACGGTCACAGTATCGTATTGTCTGCACATCAACTGCACCATGTAATCTCATAAAGAGAAGAGGAATGTAAGTCTGTTCGCTCCTGAAGGAAATTGTATAAAGTATCTTGCAATTGTGCCATCGTTTGTGAGCCAAATTACTGGTTTCTTTCCTTTTCTGAGGATGTGTATGCGTGTTTGTGTGCACGCGTACACACATGTACAAGCACCTTGAGATCAAGAGGACTCTGTCATAATATCTGGACAATTTTTTTTTTCTGGGTCTGCATATATGGTTCCTGAACCCTGCCATCCCTGAAGCTCTTGGCCAGGCTACAAGAACACAAACTTATCAGAGATAACCCCTCTCAGCTCCTCCTGAGTGACACCTCCTGTGCTGATTTTGCAGTTATCTGGTGATTGTTGAGGGAATATTGGATTGGGTGTTCAAAATGAATCTTAGTTATTAAAATACTACAAGATGCTCGAAAATTATCAAAGTAAAAAGTCTGAGAGGGAGAAAATATTTGTGCGTTGTACAGGAAAAAATCAAGGATCAAAATAAACTTGGTCTTAAAAAGAAACTGATTACTTACAAACAGAAAGATTTGTACTAAAATAAAAATTAGCTTGCTATCAAGGAAGAAAATACATGGAAAGTTAAAGGTGCAAATAATCAGGAAAAGCAAGATATCTGCCTCCTGGAAAAATGGCAGTCGCAGATTTCACATAACAATTTGTGTACTCAGAACCAGGGCTTCGGCTGCCCCAGGAAGAAATTTAGACTGACAAGGCAGATACAAGAAAGAGAGAGAGAAAAAAAAAAAAAATCTGCAATCTGTCTTATATACAACGTTTCCACATTTTTTGTTTTAATTACTCTTCTCTTTCAGGCAAGACACATGCTTCTTGAGTGAGGATTACCAAAATGGTACGCTAGACTAAGTTCAGACAGTTCTAGGCCTATATCATTTATAACCCTTTTTATGTGGACCAGCTGCACCTCTGATTTTTTTCTTCTGTGCTATGGTCAGAGAACTTGAAATGCCAGGACATACTGACAGTATCACTTCCTAACAGTACAATGTCTTTCCTTAATGATCTCCCTAAAGCAGTCCTCCTGCTAGGCTGCTAAAGCTGAAAGCAACAGAGGTTGATCAGAAGACACCAAACTGAATCCTGGGGGTGTGGAAAGTGGATCAACATGGTGACTGTGTCTGCAAAATGATGGACAGTGCAGTTGGGGTGACGTTAGATCATACAATCAATAGCAGCAAGAGCAATTATGTGTTAATATTCTGCTGTCACTGTCATTCACTGTGAAAAAACCCTGCCCATCTCCTGGAAGAAAAATCTATTTTAAGCACTTACTGCAGTGTATTTCCACTGTGAAGCGGCTAAAGGAAATAGTAACAAGCTGTAGAAGAGGGTTCAGAGGAACTTGGCTCAGATGCTTTTCTCTTCACAGGCATGTCTCAACCCATCACCACATCAGAGGTATCAAAAAATTGCCCCCCGGAATGAGTTCTCACTTCGGATCAATCTCAGAAAAGGAAGAAGCAGAATAAGAGTTGCAAGTAATTTGCAGAATCACCATGCACCATTAAAGACTATACTGGCACTGACTTAGGCTTTGGAAAAGGCATCTTAATATGAGCATTCCCAAAATCTGCAGCGAATAAATTCAGCATCGGCATCTTTATTTAGAGTCAAAGAGAGCTGTGAGAATTTGTCCTGACAGTATTTGGCTTGGTGCTGAGGTATTTTCATCTCCAGTTTAATTAGACTAGAAAAGGTCTGAGACGGTAAAGGATACGTGTAAAAGCTGGCTTCGAGGGTGGGTTGTTGTGTGCTTTGTGGGGAGAGTCCAATGCTACTTAACGTTTTCTGTCTCACAAAATGTATAACCACCTGTACCACCAGTGCTGTGCAAGACTTCTCACTGCTTTCTGAAGACCCTGCTGGTCCCCAAACCAAGGCCAGCCACCCCAGGAGCCATCCCAGCCCTCTTGGGTGCCACTACCCCAGGCTTGGCTGCAATTGCAATCTCTACTTGGTCTGCTGGTGGCATTGCTTTTCAAGGCAACAGAAAATGAGCATTTTTCCCTAAATTACTACTAATTTCCTGCAGAAAGAGGCCAAGAAATCTGAAAGGAGTTCATATGTAAGGCCTGTCAGGGGAAAATGAGTTCAGCAGACCCCTTAGCCTGCAATAACAGATATTCTATCAATAAAACATTTAACAGAAGCATTCAGACAAGGCTGTTACTTAACAGATTTGTTGTCATAGCTACACACAAAAGCATCTTATTGTGGACTCTGTACTTCTGCTGGTGCAGTTTATACTAATATCCTGATGGAAATAAATTATAATAGTAAAGAAACTTCTTTTTGCCACTATATTAATTTCTACATTAGGCACATGTATGCCAAGAAAAATGCATAGACATCCTGTGACAGAGCTCTGGTGGCTACTCTTAAGGGGGGTCCTGGACTTCAGACCTTGGGCTGTCACCTGGGGGAAAGTGCAGGAGGATTTACACTGCTGACCATTAAGTGTCCAGCTCAGGGGCTCCTAGCTTCCCACTGTGGGAAGTCTGTGTGCATTCTTTGTATTTGGGGCCTAGGGAGTCACCTGCTTTAAGCTATATGAGATCTCCTATGCTGTGCGCCAGCCCGGCATCCTCTACTTCAAACTGATAAAGGGAACAGCAGCTTGGAATAAAACAGTGGGGGTTTTTGTTTCTCTGGGAAGGAAAGGGAAAGCAGGGCTCCAGTCCATACATACGACAGGCTTTTTAGTCCGTGTAGATCCACTGGGAGGTTTGGGGATGTTTTATCTGTAGATCAAGAATAATACTTTGCTATTAAACACAAAGCTATGGTTCCTTTGTTCCTTTACCAACTGAATAGACCCCATTAAAACAAACCCAAAAGTTTCTACGTTGGCTTAGTTTTGCTGAGACTTCTCCTCATCAGATTTCCATTAATGCAGTATTTGCAGTCTCAGGCAGTATTGGTAACTAACGACCATTTACTATTAAATCTCATAAACTGTATGCTGGATCTTTGTTTATCAAAATACATTTTCCCAACTGTATCCTTCAGACTGCCATAACAGAAGTTAGCCTCATGCCAGGAAAGCAGTTAAGTATACACATTACATTAAGACATGCTTAAATCCCAGCTAAGTCAAGTACAAATGTGGCAAGAAGCACTTCTGTCAGTATTTCCCAGTGCAGATCCTATTTTACCTTTTAAAATAAAATATCTATTTGAAAGTATGTTGATTACTTTTCCCCTACCACAAATACTTGAAAAAGCCTGAATGTTATGAAAGAGACAGAGTTAGCAAACTGTTATTTCTGCATATAAAATAAGATTTTTATACTGACCTTTTATTAGCAGCTTGACTTTTATAAAGATCTGAGAGAGCTGCTACATGCTACAAACAAACAGATGGTTTAAATCCGTATAAATTGTTACTGTATGGCAAACTATGACATTTTCTGATGGAAGTGTAGGTTTTAAGTCCTTGATTTTTGGTGTCAGGCACTGCTGCCTGTTCCACGTGCAAACCGAAATTCTTTGCTGGTGCCACGTGCTTTGTGTCTGCAGGAGTAAGCAGTTTATTTCCTGTAATCTCTTGTGCTGCAGAAATTAATTTCTGTACTCTCTTTGTACCACAATAGTGTATGTTATTGTTCGCCTTGTCAAGGGGTTGTAATATCGCAGCAGCACTAGCACCATAAAAAAACAGAAGTGGACTTTGTTTGAAAGCTATCTGAGCAAGTAGCGTGGAGTTAGCAACATGATGTCTACGCACTGTGGGTTGAGTTAACTATGTGCCCTTTATGGGAAAATCAAGTGGGCTTGGTGTAAATATGAGTAAATTGGTTTGGATAAACAAGAGCTGATCATCATCTTCTAGAATAGAACATTTTAGATTTCGTTTTTGTTTCTTTTGTCTCTTTTTAAAAAATTGTTTAACCCCTTCTTTGCTTTGTGCTTATACTCTGTCCCCGTGGTATTATACCTTGCTCATGCATACAACAGCTGTTCATTTTGGTGTACATTAGGTATTATGGCTAAGAACTGTCACACGCAATTTAGTTTCACCCCCATCTTGTCAGAGGGAAGGAATGATGTACCCTCACTGCACTGTGTTGTTCTGAAAGTCTACATAAAAAAAAAAAAAAAAAAAAAAAAAAAAATCCAAGTGGCTATTTGTTTTAAAAAGGCAGGTAGTAAGTTCTGCTAAGCCTGAAAAGATGAGTTGATAACTATATTTCATTTCAGAGGCTTAGATTGCCCTGTAGGTATCCCAGGCCAGGTCACAAAAAGTAAGATCCAAGGTGCTATTTTTCAAAGGTGAGCTTGTTTGCATGGGATGCCAGACTTTTTGAGTGGTCTGAAATAGAATATATGCATCCAGGAATTAAAAAATATCACAGACCTCATCACCTTCTTCTATAGAAAAGGTGAGGGAATACTCACTTGTTTTCTTTCATATATGAAGGAAATTACAAGGGGCTTGCTATAATTGAAGCAAGAGAAAGCTAATATCTGTACTAGCACCATCTGCAAAGACACGACAAGATATACTGTACCATATCAAAAGAAGAAAAGAAATTAATTGCCCACATTGTTTGTGGGAAGTGTCAATAAGAAATTCAATGT